CAATAGTAAAGTGCATGCCGTGTATAAACAAAAACGCAGTCGGATATTACCCATCTTACCTATTGTAGTAATTAAACAAGTTGTCCATAAATATATATATATATATATAAGTTTAAATAATAGTATAAAAAAAAGTATGTACCTACAATATTTTTTTTTACACTCATCACGATTAGATTTTTTGGCTTGTAACATGTGCCCACGTTCCTGATCACCCTGTAGGCTGTATGTTGAATATGATATAATGAAATATTATCATTGATTAAAATTTGATATAAATATATACGAATTATGTATGTTCTAGGTACAATCAATGCCATTGATGATAATAATAATATGTAACCTTATAGAGTGGTAGTGACACGTTGCCGCAATGGACTCGTTTTTAATCAGCCTGTATTTTTCTTATGAACAATTCATTATTATACATACATATATATGTTTTTTAATAGCCATTATTCTTCAATATTATATAATATTATGTTTTAAACTTACACCGGAAAAGAACTATCGAGCTATTAATAATATTCAAATGTATATTACCTCTGCTCGATGAATTTTGAAATTTAATTGCTCCGGTGACATTCATTAATTAAAACTAATCGTTAATGATACGGCCAACCAAAGGTCGTCTAGGTTGAGAATGTTCAAAAACTTAAATTAATTACTTAACCAAGATGGAATAATTATTTTTTAATTATATTTCACCCTACGGCATGACTGATGTACAAAAAATAAATGGATAGTTAAATTAACGAACAAAAATATTATAATTTTACATTGATTTTTATAATCATTAATTAGGAATAAGAGACGGTCTAACGCCGTTTCTAAATCACACCGAACTATTTAAAGACCGACATAGACAATATTAGGTGTCGAGGCGGGTGCTTAATGCAATTCATCCACAACAGAACCCCTTACATAATAATTACACACTGAAATACCTTCTTTGTATCGTCACTGAACACAGAATTCCACTAAACGTAATGTTTCTGTATCGACAGAAGGATTGCATTTATGGCAAAATACTGTTTATAACAAAATACTGTTTATACAGTGTTATTGGATATTATGTATCAAACATGATACGAGTATACGACACAATACGAGTAAAGGGTTAACAGTAAAGGGTTACCTTTTTAGTCAAATGAGCTAGGCTCGAATCCTGATAAGTGCAGCATAATATAACAATTATCGGTCACGTCATGCCCGATTCTATTTAATATGTTATAATGTAAACTATAGGCTAACCCTGAACACACTACGACCCGTTTGGTATGATTTACAACCTGTCACTAGCATACTAAAAAGGTTCAACTCAGTGTGACTCAACTACAGAAGGGAGTTTAGGAAGGAAATACAACACCTTCCAAAATAATATTTTTTTTTCAACGAAGAAAAACGCTGACTTCACCTATATTTTATACATAGTTAACTAAAATATGCTACGTTAAAAAGTTACCTATTTGTCAAACGTTTACCACTTTACCCAAGCAACGATTAAACGACACTGTTTTTTTAAATAATTTAGTTGCAATAGTAAAGTTGGAAATATCAAATATATGCCTATGTAATGTATATTATACATACCATTCGTAGTATAAGTTATGCATACTGTTCACATACTTGTTTAAACTCGCAATAAAAGACTGTGTTATTTGAAAGGCAATTAGTAAAATAGCCTTCTATAGCCACAAGTAAAAAACTTATCGTATCGACTATCATTTAATTTTATGCATTTTGAAGCAATTAACTAAAATATGAATATTATCATAGTCTAATGAAACTTATCATTGGGAAAAAAATAAAAAAATATATTAGTCGTATGATTTAAAATATAATAACTAAAAATAATAGAAGTTACCAAATTTTAAAGAAAAATAAAGAATATTGATTTCTCATATGTTTTTTTCTAGAACTCGTTTCTCTCTTTTACTTTTTTTGTTGTGAAATTAATTTTTTTGGAACCATATTTTTCGACATTCGTGCACAAACCAGAATTACAATATTGTTAATTATCAAACCTGCTGAGGCGAGCTAAATAATATTGTGAATAGTGATTTACAAAATCATATTGTAATCATTGTCATTTAAACATAAATGTATTTTTTGTTGTAACTGTGTATTGTACCACTATAAAATTATACACGTATTATAATCGAATATGATTTTTAAATTTGACGACATAGAACATTAAAAATTGTTTATTGTTTACTGTTTATGGCACGTTAGAAAAAAGCTATAAAATAGATACTGTGCTGAGCCAACCTATGTGTGGCGAAGGCTACAACAATTTTTTGTCGATTCACAGAGTTAGAATAGACTTTTTTTATTAACAATAAGTAAAGTGATCAATTAATATAGTCAGGCTCGCCAAAGTAAGGTCTGATGGCGTATATTTTTCACTGTTATTGTTATTAATTATATCGGTTAGGTAAAAATTATATAGGTACCTGACCAAGTACTTACATCAATAGCCTATTGGTAATTTAGCGATGACTGTCCTATATCAGTACATACTGTGCAAAACTAATACTACTAGAATAACACCTATATTTGATAATGTGCTAAACACATATATAATATTTAAGTGGCGCCTTGGTCTTCTTTATGTCATGGTTATTATAATCTATATAGTAGACGTACCCAATAATATTGTGCTTTTCACTTCGTAGTGTACTGCAGTAAGTAACGTGTAATTATTAATGTGCACATTAAAACCCACTAACGAGTATTTTAATGGGTACTTGTGTAGCTATAATATGAAGGTTCGAGATGGCTGCAAACTGCAGTGTTGTCGAGTTGTTAGAAAGCTCAATGTCTCGGTTCGTGCCTAGTAATATTTGTGTTTTTTCTGAACAATTATTCTGCAACATACAATAGGTATGTCTTTGGAATCGGGCCAAATGAAAATTATCGCTCGTCAGAGCTTTTCGATAATCATGACTTGCGATTGTACTTACTTCTGTGTCTATACGTGAGAGATTTAATAACGAACAAAGGTTAAATCGTTTAAGCAACTATAAGAAAAATAATATAAAAAAGCAAGATATATTTTACACGCCGACATCAATTACAATGGTAGGTAGCTACATTCCTAGGAAACGTAGGCAATAGACCTATAATTTCTTAGACTTTAATTAGTAACAGCTCTGTATAATGTCGCTTGCGTAATATTACTTTATAGAATTCTGATGTTTGTTTTTTTTTTTACATTACAAACCACTTTGAAGGACAACTCGACGAGTAGTTATTGATGATTTGAAGTCCAAACATACAAAAATCACGAACAACAATTATGTTAAAATGACTCTTGAAAAGTTTAGACTAACGGCTGCACGATTTTCAATACCAGCTTTAACCACCCTTGAAACCGAATTTATTCCAATACCAACACTGTCGGAGTCGTGCCGGAAATTTCCTATTAGATCTTAGTGAGACACTTGAGTATTCTATTGTATTTTTAGCAGAGTCGGAGGTACGAAAATTATCTTTTATGATATGATGTGTTTTAAATATGTTTTATTTATTATTCGCCAACACAATCTATTTTTAGTTTAAGAATATTTTTTCTATTGGTTATTGTTTATTTATTATTCGTTTAAACGTCCAAATAATTATAATAATCGATACTAATTTTTCAATTATCTAATTAAAAAAAAGTTTTTAAATAAAACAACAAATGGTTTAAGAAAATTTTTAAAAACGGAAATAGCCATTATGGGGACCCTCTTTAACCATTATAGTTGTCACCTATACTGTTTCATTGTCTTATCAAGTGTTTTCTCTCGTCATTTATAATTTACATGTTGTTGGAAAAATAAAATTGGAACTGTCAGTTTAATATTGCTACAGTTAGGATACAGTCTGGATATTTCCAGACTGTTAAGCGAACATTTTTGCACAGTTGGTGTTGGACTGCCAACGACCTTGTAGATTGTCTTGATAAGACAATGCAATGCGTCGATGCAAAAAACTTTGGAGAAAATAATTCCTAATATTATTCTATTGAAGTTGATTTATTTATTTTTTCCACAAGGTCTTCGGGTCACGGTAATTTTATTAACAATATTTAAAAATGGATTTATGGAAAATAATTATAATATTATTCTCCAACATCCTAAGATAAGTGAATGGAAAGACACATTATTTTTTTAGGCTGGTCTGTCTAGACTACAAACCCCACTGACTACTCTAAATTAGTATGCCGTTCTGGGTCAGTGAATCCGACCTCAACGATAAATGTAGTACTTTTTTATAAATCTGTTGTCATCTTACAAATTGATGGTTTGTTTTTTTACAATTTGAAACATATTTTATTTGTCAAAATAAAAAAAAAACTCTTTTATTATTTTATTTTTGGATGATGAATAATAAAAAAACCTTTTATGATACAAAATAAGTTAATGGGTGGAACTTGTTATAACATCAATTATTATTTGCAAAGCTTTTTGAACAATGTCAACAAACTCACAAGGAAGTAAAAATAAGTTTAATTGAATCACTTTTATATTGTAGTCATATTTTTTACTTGTCTAGTTGCCAACAGCTTTTTAGCTCAATAAGAGACGTTGCGCAACAAAAAAGTTATCTATCAAAAATTCAAAAAAAAAGGGTTGGCGTTTGATGTTATATTTTAATTGACAATGTACAATAATAATAGTTTTATTTTAATATAAAATTTCACTAGTTCACATAGATTTCTGGATTATGGATTTAAAATCCAATAAAATAGTTGAAGTAAAGAATGTCAAATGATCAGATCAATGTACAATAAAGTATGTAAAATATTGTAAAAAAAATATCTATATATCTATATAGTAATAATAAAAATAATAATAATAGACAAAAATAAAAAGTAATAAGTTATTAAATAACCTGATAATGTTTGGTCGAAGTTATTGTAATTGGCCAAATAAAATACATAATAATAATAATAATAATAATAATAATAAACAATAGAAAAACTGCATTTTGATTGCAGTCGTTTTAACAGAACTATTTTGTAGGTTTGATTTGTTTTCATTTTTAATTAATTACAATAATAATTTTCTTTACGCCTACAATAAACATAATGTCAATGAATAATTTTTTTTTTTACTTTTAAATCACAAATTGATACTTATTGCTATATCAAAAAAAAACATTATTTTAAATCTTAACAAGAGAAAATATAATAATAAAAAACTGTAAAAACCATAACCTGACAAAATGGATATCAAAATATAATATAATAGATTTGTATGTATATATTTATAAACGACGGCGCTTTAAACGCTTGATTTATATGTTGATCGAGAGTTGATCGAGAGAACTTACAAATCGACAGCCAGGTAAAATTAACGTGCAGACTTGAGCTTCCATCGGAGGAACACGAATGCGGATATACGAAGTACAAAGAAGATGACGATTAAAGCTCCAATGTCCAACGCGAAATCAGCGTGAACCATGTCTAATTCCCTAAGAGTGGTGCTCGGTTTCTTGAAATGACAGTACACCTGTAAAGCAAGAGGCAACCGACACAAATATTAAAATCACGCCATATAGGATTTTTGTATAGTTTATATCACTGTTGGTTTACCTGATGGCATTTAAGTATTGCCCGATCGTAACCGTACGTGGCCAAAGCGGTACCTTCAAAACCGTATCGGATGTAACTCAAGTAGGTGATCCATCTCAGGTAAATTGGAATGGCGTCGAAACTGACGAAGAAACCGGAGAAGAGCAAGAAAGGTACAGACATGACTGGAGCCAAAAACACACCGTTCTGGAAAAATAATTTAAAAATATAACTATGTAATATAACAAATTAATAACCGAATAATAATAAATTCAGCGGTGTTAGTCTTTTTGGATACACACACAGTGACTACACTGCTGAATTGATAGTCAATTTGTTTGGTTCACTCACTTGTACGTTCATTGCAGCACCGACAACAAGTCCAACACTTTGAGCGACAAATGATATTAGCAGACAGGCCGACAAGAACATTCCGAACCGGAACATTTCCGGCGGTTGCGATGTCATGTAATAGACTATGCTCACATACATGACACAAAATATCGCCTAAAAAAAATACACAACACGATATTAATTAAAAAAAAAAAAAAATGTGTACTTCATTTGTTCTTTAAAATTACCTGAAATGGTATATCGGACAATGTGATGGCTAAGTAGTACGACCTAAGCGAATACCATCTATTGAAGTTTTCTTTGACCAAAACCGGTAACTCTAGAGGGACTATAATATTATAACAAGTCGATTAGATTAGCCATAATGTTCGCAAATAATCCATCAAATGTATATTTTCTTTTAAGTCTTACACGACAGAATGGTGATTGTCATCGACGTGTACATAAGGAACAACATGTTGAAAAACAAAAATCCAAGGTTGCTCAGTACTTTGGCTCCATCGTTTCCAATATCGTAGTACAATGAACCGATCAAGAACCCGACCAAAATATGTGCGAAGAGACGCAGGTACATAAGCGTCTAAATCAATAACAAAATAATTTTAAAAAATGATTATTAATAATGCGTCACTCGATATATTATTTTAAATAAGACAGACCCAATCTCTTCTGCTGAACAACAATGTTCTCTTAAGAACAATCCAAAATTGAACAAACTCAGATGTCGCGTATCGCTTCTGTTTTCCTGGCAAGCTGTCCTTTAGCAAGGCTTTGGTTGCTTCATCAGTATTGATTAATTTGTTTGCATCGATCATTTCCAATCGGATAGCCGAATCGTCTTCTGAGAATAAAACATTAGTTAATAATATCAAACTTATGGTAGGTATTGCTACACTTACTCGGTGGATAATATTCGGAATCGACGGGTTTCGATAGTTTGTCGCTTTCGATCAAGTTGGACGACAAGTTGCTAGCTGTAATAGTTATTAAAAGACCAGTGAGAGCACAGTAGGAGGAAATAAATAAGAGACACCACACTTACATTTAACAATATCTTTTTGGTTAACGTTGTTCAGGTTGTCCGAGGTCGGGAAGGTTTTGCCAGTTTGAATATCGTACTTGCCGTTTTGAATAGCGTTCACCAGTTTGCGAACGTTGTCCCCGTATTCACCGCAAGACACCTCAATCACTACAGACAACAATTAAAGTCAGGGTTGGTAAAAATATAAACACAAACAGTAGGTTGCAAACTATACTTACGGTACGATGCGGGGTTGTGGTAGCTGGGACACTCCAGACCCAACGAGCCCAGGAATGGTACAAGTTGTCTGGTAGAACCCTGGTACACACACTGTCCTTCAGCTAAGGTGTACAGGTGATCGAACATCTCGAACAGACGAGCGCTTGGCTGATGGATCGTGCAGATGATCGTACGACCGCCGCGACTCAAAGATTTCAACAGCGAAATACATTGGAAACAAGAGCTACTGTCTAAACCACTGAAATTTCATAAAAAAAGAAATATATTTAACATTAGAACTGAATTAGATTTGGTAAGTCCAATATTAGATGATAATATATGTATATATATTTAAATAACCTGGTCGGTTCGTCAAAGAACATAATAGGCGGATTGTTGACCAGTTCCAGGGCGATGGACAAACGTTTTTTCTGACCGCCAGACAAGTTGCTGGTCATCGTTCTTCGGTGTTCTTGTAAACCTAATGTTTCTAAGATTTCTTGAATCTAAAACAGCGTTCACACGTTTTATAATTTATTAAACTATATATATATATATATATATATATATATATATATATAGTTCAACATTAAATAAATATTTTATAACAACTTTTTGACCAGAAATCAAATGTTTTTGAAGTAATGTTTCTATAATATTTGAATAATGTTTTGTACATAATATTAAGAGAACAATGAATTTCTGTAAAGCCGGTCCCACACGACTCGTGTAATCGTCGATACTTGTCAAACGTATAAGCTTGTGTCAATTTGTGTATCCTCATATAACTACTGTCAGTTCAAAATGGACAGTGACGACGAAAAGATTGCTGTTTGTGCGGCAGTTACTCTACTGTTAATCTAATATGTTTGTAATGAAAATGAATGTATTGTTGAAAAGTTTTAATAAAATATTTATTTTACAGATCATGCGAGTTTTGAAATATTTATTTTTAATTTTTTCTGTCACCGATTGATTTTTGAGTTATAGCCAAAAAAAACTAACGTGCCAAAACAAATAGTGTTTTAAAAATGGACCTATTCGAATTATTTGTTTTTCAGAATGATTGTTTTTACACTATTTAGACATGCTGGTAAAAGTAGAATTCGTGTAGTTGAGCTATTGAACTATTAATTAGGCAAGGAATGCAATTTTTCTAAAATGTATTACTTAGTTATAGAAACAACCAAGAATAGTATGCTACTATACAATGCTGAAAATGTAATGTTTTTTTTCTTATTACCTCTGAAAGATAACGTTTTATTTGACTCTATAGCGGGGTATAAGAAAACGAGTATGATAAATGAAAACCAAATGCAGGTGTTTTCATCGTCTTAGATGATCACCTCTGGTTCCGTCTCTGTCAACCGACTGCCAAAGTTGGTTTAATGCTCGTCGGCGATCATCAGAGATGAATTTTTAATATATAATATAAATATTACCACTTGGTATCTGCTGTCCTTGGAAATGTCCGATCCTAACTTCAAAGACGACGCAACGTTCATGGCTTCTTCGACAGACAGATTAGCGTGGAGCTGGTTGTCCTGCATAATATAGCAAGACAACTTTCTGAATTGACTTAAATTCCGTTCGTATCCATTGATTGTAATCGACCCTTTGACCCCCGAGCACCTGGAACACATCAACAGTTTTCCTTATTAATATGTATTAATGTATGTATAAAATATGTGGGTCAATGTTGCGCAAAACCGAATCGACATGTGTGTTCAAATGGGACTACAGACATTGCGGGAATGCATAACATTGCCGCCCTACTGACTTTTCAGCGATAGATAAACACCAAATACCGAACTGATTGCGTTTGTTTTATAGCATTGAACAGTCGTCAGACGCTTACTGTACGGTTTTATGTAGGCGTACACGGTACAAAAGGCGATAAACATTGTGTGTATTGTATAATAATACTTCTACACCGACAACAGCTAAAGTCCATACGGTCGGGGCCATTGGGTTGAACAATGGGTACCACCAAACGGCTTTCGAAAAGCCTATTTAATCTAAACCGGATCATCCAAAGCCCCGTTGACAATATTTTGACTTAGAATCTAAAAGGGCCAAAGTCAATTAAAAAAAATAAATAAAAATAGTTAACAAACTCGAAACACGGCAATCACCATTTGAACTGTGTACAAAATGACACGCCCAGTATAAACATTGATAAGTACGGGAAGAGGTTTATACATAAATAAACACAGAATATAAAATACTTTATTGCTAGCTCTTTGTCAAAAATTGCAAAACATGAGATTGGAATTTGTGTTGCACTCAAGGTAAGGAATCAATATTAAAACGTGGGTATTGGCATAGATGAATTTGATGTTCATGTCATAAATCGTAATGATTTTCCTACTATGAAATGGTGAGAAAATATCCAGATATAATAACCATGTCGATTATTTCCAGTGTTTGCTTAATTGATGCGTATTATTTACTAGGTATGCAGTTGGCAAAATATAATTCACCATTTTTAAAGTTGATTTTAAAGCTGTGGAGATAAGCCATATGAAATATTTAATTCCGTCACTAATCCCCGGAAAATTGAATACTAAGAAAAATGATTCCCAGAAAAATAATCTAATATACAATTCTCATAAAAAAGTTAAATTTTTTAGTTCTTAATAATACAAGTTCCAGTAAAACAAAAATCGATTACATTTCTCAAACAGGGAATAATCATATTTTTATGAATGCGTTGAAGCTTTGAAGATGGACTCTGCAAAGAGTCCGAAACGTCGGCATATAACTAGTGACGTGGATATATTCGAAACTCTTTCAAATGAATCATATTTTTGTTAATAATCTAGACCTCTTAGAGAAATAAATGTAAATATATATTTATAAAATCAAAGAATATTTTTGCCATTATTAAGTACTAATAAATTAATTTCAACTTAGTCTTACAAAAGAAAAACGATATGCGAGTCAAATTAAAAAAAACTTGGGGATGCGGGGCAGAGTGGAACTATTGCGGTTCATTTCTGGTTAATGATACAGTTGGGCTTGAGCTCCTTCTCCCAAAAAAAAATTGTCAAGCTAATAAAAACTGCACCACTTTGTAACAGTAATATGGAAATAAAATTGAATTACTTGTATCCTGTCAGTATGTTGAGTAAGGTGGATTTTCCAGCGCCGGACGGGCCCATAATGGCCGTCAGTTCGCCGGACCTCAGACGGCCGCTGACTGATTTCAATATGTTTTTGGTACCTGTAACGAGCAACAGAACAATATTATTATAATTATAATATACCAATAAAGAAATACATGGTAATAGTAAGAAAAAGCATAAGTCATTTTTTGACATTTTAATCGAATATTTAAATCGTTCATATTCATTTTGAATTCAATTTTGCAATGCGTCGATTGATTTTTTTTTTATGAATTTCGAGAATAAGTTTTGTTATTTTATTTTGTTCAAATGGGGACAGAAGTCATATTTTATTCTGTGTTATAAAACATAACTCAATCTTTTCCAGTATGAAAGGACATAAATCATAGTTATTTCTATGCCTAATTTCACAAGCCATTACACATTTTAATTTCAATTAAAACAAAACTCAACATTGGTTTAAAAAAATGAAAATAAAATTAAGAATTAATCCGTCCAAAATATAGATAAAAATTTGACTTAACGCATTTTGATCAAGTACCAAAAATTAAAAATACAGCATTTCATAGTGTTATATCTTTAATTCTTTCATTTGTATTAATCCTCAAATTTTACTTTCTTCGGTTTTTTATTACCTACTTCAATAAAATATTACAATAACACTGTATCAAAAAATTTCCCTTAAAAATAGTTATTTATAAGGTTTTTGTGTATACTGAAAACTAGTGATTAGGGCTGCTAGAGAAGTTCAAGTCCTTGACTACTTTAGGCTTTCAAAAAAAGTTAACAACCATCTAGACAAAGTTTTTCAGCTAAGTTTTTAAATTTTTTATTGAAATTCTAAGAGAGCTTTTAGCGTTATTAAAAAGTCTGAATTTCCTCGGTTCCCTCTAATTGTGCCAATTGTCCTTTCTCATCGTTCAAATATAGTGTTACGTCGATAATCATAAAAACGATTATTATACCCAATACAATAATATTATATTTATTTATTTTGATTTATTTATACAAAATGTAAATCCACGTGCGTTGCTATTACAGTCTCACGTCATCAACCGTCGCGACAATCGATTTATTTTAACAGTTCAAAAATTACAATTAATATAATATTTGTATATATATATATATACATCAATAATACCATTGTTTAAAATACGATAATATCAAGTCGGTAGCGCATGTTGACATTGGACGGTTTTAGGCTAGCGTGTGACAAAAAAACCTACTCCTTATCGGAGATCTATGCATCACGCACAACATATAGCTGCAGTAGTATTTTCTGTGTTTAAGGACACAAAAACCCAATTACATAAGTATGACACATACACACTAGGGGATTAACGACAATAATAATAATAATAATATTAAACGGTCGTCTAGATGTATTATTATTGTTATGACCTGGATGCATTTTTCGAATACGTGTAGAACCGTTGTAGCCGCGATTAAATATTATATTCGACCAGCCCATCATAATATGCGTTATGTTGCATATTATGATTAGAGAGCAAATTGGTTTTAGAAAAAAAATAAAAAACGACGCCTATTGTAAATAGTAGACCTAATAAAATAATATTCTCTTAACAATGTAATTTTAACGCAAAACCAAACCTATACACGAACCCATTGAAAAACATTATGCTAATATTGTTTATCAATATATTTTTTACCTTAGAAGTCGAACAAGTGTTTGTGGATTTCCAGTAATTTTACACAATAAAATATTGTTATTAATATGCAATTTATTTTTTGGTTATGTTAAATAAATGTTAATAAAATGTATTTAGGTACCAATGAAATATTGTTACGTTTCCACTTATATTGCTATTAATTGTTTACCTAATTACTTGTGTAGTAAGTAAATGTAATGATAATCTTTAATCACTAAAGTTTCTAAATAATAGTTTTTAAATTAAGGAGTATCGGTTGTACCTACAATGATTGGATTTGTTTTTGGAACAACAGCTGTAGTCTGTAACGATTTCTTTGAGTTACTCTAGAGTTTATCAGAAAATCTTGTCTGGAAGTCGGGGTCAAATGTCTGGGAAACTAACTCTATCCTTATTTAAGACTCGATAAAAAATTAATTTTTTTAAGTTTCAAATTTATCAAAATATGGTTAAAAGTAATTAAGACATCGTATGCGATTGACAATCCGTGTACAGAGGTTCAGGACAAGGGTAGTGGCCGACCCTAAAAAGCTGGAAGATAAAGCGAGGTAAGAAAGTTTTAAATTAACTTAAAAATAGTCAAAATGTTAAAAGGACATTAAACTGCTGGAATGGTTCTGTAAAACAATAGGATGTAAAAACGAGCAGTTATTAATTATGGGGTAATCGGAAAAAATAATACTAAAAAAAGCGTTTAGCTGAAACAATTAAATATATACATATAGTTTGTTGTAAAGTTAACTATTAACTATACGCTATAATCTCCAAAAATTAATTGTATTGCCAGGCTATCTGTAAAATTCTATAAAATATCACATTTTAACGACTTTTACACTGGTAAATATAAACAATGTACTTGGTAATTAAAAACAAATCAAATCCAAGATAGTCCTAAAAACACTTTTATCTTTGATATTTATTGAAAAAAATATAATTAAAAAATATTGAAACCGTATAAGTTGTTCCTGCGTTGTCTTTTTTAATTTAAAAATCGCTACAGCTTATAGACTTAAGTAAAAATTGTTACGAGGAAACTAATATTCATATACCCTTCCTTCCTTTAATACATTTCCGTAACTAATATCTGTCATTTTATTAAATACTGCATATGTTTTACCCCTTATTAAATAATCGTACTCATATTTCTTAAAAACAATTTTATTGAGATAAAAATTAAACAATAAGATTACATATTATGTAGGCAATATATAATTAACATATTGCCTATATTTGTAATTTTTATAAAATAACAAAAGCCAGACTGAGCCTATTGGAGTCTAGGAGATTTTAATTTTTGAGGATTTTCAACTTTTATTTTTATAAATTTTAAACTTGGAGCACAAGTGCCTAAATATGAGGTTTATGATATTACCCCGCCCATGTTACTGACTCCTCAATTAAATCTAAAACTCAATACTTATCACACTGAATTTTCTCTTCTATAAATTCATTCGGCAGGTTTTTTTATCATAGCTTTAGTTGCCTACAGAAAGTAATTTTTATGTTGAATCTTTAATGTTTTTATGAGCACTCTGAACACGGTTTAATACAGAAGAATATAATAACAAAAATAATACATTAATTAAAGTGTTTAGGTGTATTAAGAAAAAAAATTAAAAAATTGCAACAATAACGTTGGGGTTCTCCTTCTGTCTTATGGACATACATAGATATAATATGATAATATGTTTAGTAAATGGTGTTCACCGAAACAAACAACAACCGGTCTTCGCAAGGACACTTATACGAGCTATCCATGACCTTGTGTTAAAAATTTACCGAAGATTTTTTTTTTATAATTTGTACTCTTTCAGATGAGCATTAAAATAGTTTCCAGGTATACACGTTCCTGTATTTATGTACCTCCCGAACTCCTAGATAATTCAATCTGTCGGGCAGATATAATTTTGCAAAAACAAATCAAGCAATGTTCATTGAGCATAATATATCGATGTAAACATATAACTTTAATAATGAGATGCTGACGTGGTCAGAACATACCGTCCGTCAACGTTAATTCAAATCACGAGGCGACCACTGGGACGGTTAAATTAAAACATTAAATAGTCATTTAACAGGCACGGGATATTTAAAGAAAAAACAAACTGACATGTGTAATAATACATATTATAATATACATTCTGGTGTCGTTATTGTCCTGAATATTGAAAAACCCAACGTTATTAGAAAATCGGCATACTATATTATAATTATGTATCCATGTATAGAGTGAAGGCAATGGATTTGTATTGCTTCATAATAATTTAACATCTCCCCTCTTATTTTCTAAAAAAAAATACATGTTTGTTATTGAAATTAAAAAAAAAAACAAGTTCTCCGAAGATCACGGATAAATAACAACAACTATACAGCACATGCCTACCTAACGAACAGTTAAAAAATGTTACTTAAAATAATATTTTAATAATCGGATGTATACGTTTTTGGTTAAGCCTACTTATGAATGACTAGCATAAAACGTCTCAATACTAATGGAATTCTGATGGATAACCCCCCTTATAGACACATAACTCGAAGTATAGCATAGGAGAAAAATAGTAATAAAAACGGATTATAAAAACTTAAAAAAGACCTTATACGTGAAACTCATAAACGAATAATTAATCATTAATGTTACGATTTACTACTTGTATAAAGGTATTCATTTAAATTACATTAAATCCAATGCCGTGCAAAAGTACCAACCAGAAATACTGCTAAAAAATTCAAACCATTATTTTAATAAAAATACATGATAGTTTATATTTCCAACAATAAGGTTATTCGCAAATAAAAACAGTTATATTTAAATTCGAGGATTTCTCAAAATCATAATATGTTAATTTAACTTGTACAGTATACTCGCATGGAATTTTAATGCTATTTTTTATGGACTAGTTAATTTTTGTGAATAATATATTATCGTATTATTAGCAAAATTATAAATTAGGTATATTGTTCTAAAGGCTTAACCTTCTTGTTTGTAAACCTGCGATTGTGTTTTATATAAAACCATTATTTTTAAATAATGTCAGGGGCGACGCGGCGCTAGGCTAGGAACATAGCAGTGGGACACAATAATTTGAAAAATTGTAAATGTTCAGAAAAGCTTAACCCACGAATCCATTATTTCAAGAAAAAGCCAAGTATATATTTTTTAATACCGTCGTCTAAACGGCAACTCCAAATAAATAACGTTCTGCCATTAAGTAGTGGATCAATTTTTTTTTAGTTTTGGGTCAGCATTTATTTTGAAATATAAGAGTATTCTAAATTGCTTAATGTAATAAAACGAAATTTAGTTTTTGGTGGGTTAAGCTTTTCTGGCGATACGCGCCTCATATATAATGTCCCTAATGGTGCCGATTACCGCTATGCATCATATTACATATGTTAGTGGCTCAGTTGGCTTTATCGCATAGGCTCTCAATTTGCCTCCCTTTCTCAACTAAAACACCCTCGATCGCTCCCTCTCATTTTCCCCCAAGAATGGCGGTTTTTGATAAACCAACGCAGTAACATCCTACTGGTTTGAATAATCGTTTTTCACGAGGGATTTGATATTAAGTCGTTTCGAATAGTCACGCGAGTCGTTTTCCCGACGATTTCCTAACGACCAATGTAAAACGCATTTTGGAAAACCCTGAGCCCGAGAACGGACGTTTTTCGCCGAGCCATTCGCGCGGCCGGTGGAAGGGAAACATTGACCTTCTGCCCTTCTACCAATGTGATTATCATAATTATTATTGTGTTACCCATATGCACAGGTATACCTGTGTTCACATGCACACATATATCTGGTAGCCATTGATATGAAACGTGTGAAATTATTGTATTCGAATAAAGGATATTATGTACTAATCGTAAAGAATAGCAGTACAAAGCACAGCATTATCGCACGTTGGCCCCTGTTTCCCTCCTATGCTATTACGATAATCGATGATGATTATTCCGTTAACGATCACAGTTTTGCCTGCCTATTTCCTTTTAGGTACAGGCACTTACGTAAAAACAAATGAAAACTGCTGAAATAACGTTTTGGCCTTCGGATTTGCAATAGTAATGATTCGCCTGCGGTGTTAAAAACGTATGCGCGATTTTAATTTTTATACGTGATCAAGATGGACTTCAAACACAAACACAATTTTTATATTAGTTTTGTCATATCACGTTTCGGTTAGGTAGCATTAATGACCTTATCGGCCTCAACGCACAACGGGCACCAACAGCAGCAGCTCTATCGGCTTACTCTCTCTCTCCTCTTCTACCAGCCATCATCGCCTCAATATATAATAATATAATATAATATAGTATTATATTATTTTGTATAGTGAGTTATTGGCGATTTAACCTCATTTTTTGGTAGTCCACAACGGCATACCGTCTCTTATCGGATGTTCGTCCGTGAGCCTCACGACAAATCACCCTGGCGTGTTTGTACAACCGTTGTTGAGGACAAACAAAAAAAAACGCACAAAAGAAAAACAAAATCATCGTTTACCGTCGACAGGTTGCTTCAAGCCAGAGGTGTCGAAAATCAATATCAAAATGGTATCGAGTATCGACTGCATTGTGAAGGTTAATATGATGAAGTTTTTTGTACAATAGCGACATATAAATATTTAAGTGAACATTTAAAAACGATAAAACCCCTAATGAATGAGCCCGATGGACTTCAATTCAAAATTGGCAATAACCCGGGTTTAAAAAAACCCCTCACGACCAGTTATGTGTTTTGGGCTATGCATAAACCCATATTTTTGGGAAATACTAAACATTTGTTGGATTATTTGGTTTCTTTTGTGAGTTTTTTTTTTTGCCTACTGTGCAAATGCCACGCACAAAGGCTTTATCATTTTACATCCGAATAATCGGATCAAGAGCATGCATTAAAATGTTTGTTATTTTTTATTAATTGTTTAATTTGCTATTTTTTTAATAATTTTTTGTAACTGTAGAAATACATTTTGTACTCACTTTTTTTGGTACCCTCCGACACGGTGTACACGAGATCGGAGAAGGCAATGTCCACCGGCGGCCTTTTGGGCAGATGACTCAGCGTTTTGGGTTGACATGGCGTGATGGTGACTTTGACCGATCCGGATTTCCTGGCAACAGACAACGGGTCGATTAAACAGCCGTCAGGTTTGGCTGCAGGCAGCTCGTCCATAGGGACGGCGACCGAATCGTCGATGATCATTGTGCGGCGCAATGGATGGATCAACCGTTCCGGTGTGATCTATACCAGATCCACTGAACTAAACCGGGATGACGACGGTTGACGAATAAAGGGATGAGATGGAAACGAAAATGTTTAAGGATAAATCGCACGAGTTCGATATGATCAATATAACAACACAACAACGTCTGGATCCCTAGAGCTCATCGCCATCACTAGCCACACAAGGCATATTATTACTGCTGGCTGTGCGCGACGACGGTGCTTATTGCAGTTGCCAGAGCAGTTACAGCTGTAGTAGGGACTAGGAAATAACCTTTGTTTGCCTTGAACGACGCCGCTGCCACCGTTCCCCTTCCCCCGTTTGTGTTCAACAGGCAAACTCACAATGACGATATCGTCGAGCAATAATTGCGCCTTAATAAGCGCAAAACGGATTAATATACATGAATACTAGCAAGAACAGATATTCGCTTGGTTCCACCATATATGTTACACGCATCTCGTAGCAGAAGTCGAAATATACCGTTAACATAGGCCCGATTTGGGAGGCAGAATGGTGCTTGGGTAAGGTTAGCACCCCTAATTTTGAAATATCACCTCCAAAATTGTGAAAGAGGTCACTCAATAATATTATAGCGCCTGAAAGTCAACGCATTTGAATGTTTTTACTAAAAAGTCCGTAGACTAGCTAGGCAAACTATAGGTATAATATAATAATACTCAAATGAATCCAAACTCAAAACTGCTTTTACATACTTCGGAATCTTTTAATATTAAGCATATTTTACAACATTTTCCAAAATTTACAGCACATTATATATTTACCCCCTTAATTTGGTATCTTTGAATACCAGTTAAGTAACACAAATTAAGAAAAACATTTTTTTTTTAATATAAAACTATAATATAACCAAGTTAAAATTGTTAGAAAAAAAGAATCATGTTATTAGTATGTTGCTTTTTATGGATGTTTAAAATTGATAAATTCGTCGAGCTTAACTATGTTGAATATTCTTAAGTATATGATGAATTATAATTAACAATAATATTAATATGCAATTTTAATATTCATTAAATTTTTAATTATTTATTTATTTAAATTTATAAAAAATAGTCTCTATTGTATTTAATTTTTGTGCAAAAATAGCTAAACGTTGTGTTAAGCAATAGTTGGAAACAAATATTAAATATCAGTATAGCTATATGTTATTACTAGGTATAAAGTAGGCACAAAGTACAACTATTTTAGCTAATATCAAAATGTATATTAAAAAGCCTCTACTTCTTCATAAATAGTTCGACAGTTAATTTTAAAAATGTACGGATATATTTTTTAATTAAAATATTATTTATTTAATAGGTTTCATTTAAAAATTTAGATTTCCCCGTTAACTTTGTCCTCCATTGACCCTCTAAATTTGAAGACATGACTGCCGATTTGCCGTAAGACGCCCCCTAGACACTTTTTCCACGACTCATTGACCAGTCACTAAATGAAGTTACTTTTTAAGCTTTCCTTATAATGGCGAATAAAGTCTAATGACGTCCATCTCGGCACTATTCGCATTAGTAACATTTGCTTTATTTTCTACAAGAAGCTTGCTTTGAATAGGCGTACAATTTTAAAATCAGTATATTCATTTATGGTAATTAAACTGTAAAGTCGTACATGATTTAGGAAGCATAGTTGGAAAAATGTTGCCTACCGTTAAAATATGTTATGCATATTCTAAGTATTTCAGTTTTCTAAGGAGAAAGGAAAGAGTTATTTATTAAGACCTGACTAATTTGAAAATAATTAAGTTATTATTATTTTTTTTTAAATACAGAACCAATGAGGGGGAACTGCAGTTTTCCACATGACTTCCCCTCATTAGCCGTCATCGTTTATTCACATATAAACATTTATAAGATTTTATACTTACATAAATATATTATTGCGAAAGTTTGATGAAAACTTTTATTTGTATGTAATTTGGTAGCTAAAAAGTTTTTCGGGTAAATTTGTTGGACTGTACTCAAATACTTCAGTGGGAAGTAAAACTGCAATTGTGAGAACTTAACCCTAGTCATATATAAAAATATATAATTATCTTTTATACAGAGATGTACAAAACCGAAGTTTTGCAATAAGATTTACATTTTTGCAACGGTTGTAAATTTGTAAATATGATACTTCACCATATATACGAAACTTAAGGTGTAACTGGGAAATATTTTATCTATTTATATTTTATTATAGAATTCAAAATGACCTTTAAATCAATATTACGACCAACTCGCATTTCTCAACTATTGTTTATTCACTCTAATTATAATTAAACAAACAGTGTGTGTATTCAAAAAATAAATACTTGATGCTGCGGTGGCATAAAACTTTCGCAAAAGTACAATAAACGGTAATTGTTAAATGCCAAGTTCGCGAAACACCAATACCTTTTGTATTATCATTAATATGATATTAGTAACAAGTTAGGTAACATCATGCCGAATGTCGACTGATAACGCATTTTTTTTAAAATTAATCATCAATATTGTAATCGATTAAGTAACGTTGGCAAAGTGATGATATTGTATTGAAATTGTTAGTTTACTTTATAAACGCATTCCGAACAGCAACAACTGTGTTGTTATTGACCAATTTTTGTGTAACTAATAACTGATAAGTATACAGTATACTAGGGTCACTATGTGAACTATACAATATTGTGTCACTTATATTATGGTGTACAATGTACAGGGACATTTTGAAGTGACTATTGTTTCAAAATTTAAAAAACATATTTTTATTACTAGCAAACGAACTGGTTAGATTTTACAGATTATTTGAGACTAAATCATTAAATTAAAATTAAAACGACTTCCAATTATGTGATTTGCATTAAAATAATCAACATTTTCTCTCAGTGCAAATATAGTTATTATATAGATATTATATTTAACGCTTTCTTGGTGGGCCATGACTTCGCTGTAATTGCTTAAATATAGTCAAGAAGTGACAAGTGTTTGACGACATGCCGACGTCATCTCCATTAGGATATAATAAAATATTTTTAATGCGTTGTGTAAAATACATACACCCAAATCGTTTAATACAAAAATGGTCTCATCAAAATTAATAAAACAAAACGTGATTTGCGGATTTTCTATGAAATACTTAAAAACACACGATTCTTAATATTCTTAAAATAAATTCTTATATACATCAAGAAATTAGTGCGCTTTTTAAAACGTAAGAATATATTTTATGCTGTGACTGAAAAAAAATAATACATCAAAGTGAAAGCACAAAAAAATGAATAAAAATTATTCAACAAAGGATTATTTTTGTTCTTTGTTTTGTTTATTCTCTATTGACTTATCAATTGTAACCATCACATTGTCCACACTTCCATTTCTCCATTAATAAACTAACCTAACCTAAACAAGCATATGTACATACATATTGTATAACAAGCTTGTAATTTTGTATTTAGATCAGTAGATAAATAATAATTATTATTTTTGATAAAAATCTAATAATCATGTCTCAAAGGTGTAAACAATTTTACTTAGGAAATTTGTCCAAGCTTAATTGAAATTGTTTAATAATTAATTATAGTTTTTTTGTTTGTGTACCCTGCTTTAATTTTAATAAAATGTATTCAAAATCTAAAAATAATCTAATTCGAACTTTAAACTTATCTGGTGGGCAACCTTATTAAGTTTTCTTTTCTTAAAAAAAAAAATATATGGAATTAATATGTTTGAAAAATCTAATAAAAATATAGTCTGTACTAATGACGAGTAATAGAAGATGTATGTAAACGTAAAGGTCTTATTATTATAAGATAATTGGACTCATTATACGTTTTAGGAATATTTCCCATTGCACTGAACTGAATAGACAAAAAGAATAAAATTCCATTATATCGAAACATTTTTCCTATTAATATATTGTTTTTTTTTTATGTACATCAATATAAAAAAAAAAATAGCTATCATAAATTAATAATGTTAATGAATAGTCAAAAATAGAAATAAATACAGAATTAATAATTAACAATCATGTTACATATTACACATATAAGTATGAGTGCAAAATTCTAATTTTTTAATACTTCAATTAAGCAAGATTGCATTGTATATAGATTACATTACACAGAAAATAAAGTCCAATTGCATAATATCTAAAAAAAGTAACAATAATGGTGGACAATTTAAACTTCAGCCTACCTTTAAAAAAGATAGGCAACTAAACGTACATGTGTGTATTTATTGTTGTTTACCTGAAGTTTTTAAGTAATATAGACACGTATGTACTAGAATTAAAAAAGAACCATATAGCAAACAGATATTAATTTTTTTTAAGATTGTCAAACTTTCAAAATAATGTTTAAATATTATAAACATAATTGTAATGTTTATTTTAAAATATTACCCAAATGTTATGATAAAATTGCCTATACTTAAATAATATTTAAATTATTTTCAGTTTAATAATTTGTTTAAACATTTAATTTCCTTCCAAATATGACTTTAAATGTATTAACACACTTTAACAACATTTATCAAAAAACCTTAATCATTTGTTTCTGACCTATACAAAATGAGATACGTGCAACATTGAACAAAAGTTTCGGTTTTTATAAAACAAATTTTTTTTTTATCAGTACCAAACTATTACTTTTGCGTTATTTTTATTCTGACAGTAACTTTTAACTTAACCAGTTACTTAAATGTAGAAGCTCGTCTAGCTCTGTGCTTAAGTTCCTAATGATATATGAATGTGATGATGGTTAGTATATTATGTTGGTATTGCTGATGTCCTGGATTTAGGAGTAATCAAATATTTGAATAATCTTAATAAGAGACTTTGCTTTACCTTGAACTAATGTAAAATGATACAACGATGTAAAACATACGAATCTATTAACATGTTACTATTAGAATAATAAAACTCTAATTGTTCGCAACTTATTTTTAGGTCGTAACCATACGAACAGTTTGAATAGAATCTTTTTATTTTTTATATCTTATATTGTTTTTATAAATAAACGAAAAAAAATGTATAATGAGATAATGAGCAACTACACGTTGTCGGTTGGTGGCTTTCATGCACTGCGAGTTCGAGACGGTTGCATCAACAAAATTCCCTTTTCAGATAATTACACAATCTGTCCAGAGAGAAAGTATCATAATAATATTACACTACCTTGACCCGACTGCTTTTTTATTTATATTTTATACAAACATATCATTGTAAAGAAGTAACTAAAATCCTCAAGCAGACAATAACGGTAATATACGATCGATAAAATATAAGAACTAAAAAAAAAATCATCTGTAATGACCGCGAGAGCCCAAGACAAAATAAACAGGTGTGCCGGCAACCCATGTTATCAATGTTCACAACATGGCTGCCGGTAACCTCCCGCAAAATACGCGGCCGCCATATTGCGGTTTTCAGTGATAACGATTATTACAATTTACTTCACATACCTAACACTTTTATTTTGTCCCCTGTCCTAATCGAGACTGTCTGCGAAAACCTGCACAAGCTGACCCCACGCGTTAACCGTTTTGGATCGATAGTATTATGAACGGTAATATCATAAGATATATGTATAATAAAAAAATATGATGCATAGTTGTGATAAGCGGATAATAATAAATTTCTCCGGAATACTATAAACGCGCGCCGTTGTAATTTCCAATTACTGAAAGAAAAAACTCGTTTCTGCAATTTCAACAGTTTCTTGACGGCGGTCTGAAGTAAAGTGAAAGTGAAACCGACGGAGGTTGACTCTTTATTAGAATCTCAACGAAGCGCGGTGTTATGTATGCATCTATTTGTTAACATTTAAAAAAAATACTAATGACCAAAATATATTGCATACAAAATCAAATACATTACGTTTGTTTTCTACAAGCTTAAGCCATGCAGATAGCTAAAAAAAAACAGCGGTACCAATCCAAAAGCCGAACTTTAGCCTTCCCCCAACTAAATCATATTTTTTCTATAGTCTAATAATATCAATACTAGGAACTCGATGTCATACAAATCATAAACATAAATCACTAGAAAACGTGACTAAAAATTACCCACAAACATCAAAAGTTGATTGGTAGCTAACCAAAAATCATAATATAAAGTCATTGTCAATTTAATGGCCAAATAATGACTTATATGGGTCAATCCATGCCAAATCATACCATCTTCATTCTAAATGTAAGACTTTAAATTCAACAGCTGCAAATGAAAAAGTGAAATAAATAAAGTATTTCCATCCCTTCTAGATAAAGGTTTAATAAAACTTTTTTGGTTCGTTAGTGTCTACTATCTATCAATATATTTTTAAAAAAATCACAAATTTTGAACTAATTATATCTTTTTTAAGAAGTTATAGCACTCTGTAAATTCAAGATGATAAATATATAAATTTGTTGGTTGTTTTCTCGATTTTAAGGGTGAACTTTTTCAATTTTTGGCTCAGTAATGAAGTACTGTTTATAGAGTTGCTACACGAAGAAATCGGTTCAGACGTCTAGGTTCAACACAAAAACAAAAAATAATAACACATTGTTTTAAAAATGATCCTTTTCACATATTTAAAAAAAAACTATATTAATACATTTTGCATTACATAAAAGAAATTTCTGTAATAACAAGCATAAAAAAATGTAAAATTGCCAACTAGGTAAAAACAAAATTAGCTTCAAGAACAATTATTCTCTTTTTACTAGCATGTCCCAGAACTACATTTGTAATTTCTAGATCCACATCATATGTTTGTGATCCTATACTTCAGTCTTAAAATACGGCAGAAATTCCTAAGAAGAAACATCTCTTTTTCGTAACCATCCATTTAGTTAATAATTATATAACATGTATTATGATATATTATGTGTAACCCAACATTTGAGAGCATGACGATAATATTTACTTTTTAATATTGTTAATTTTCCTAATGTTTATTGAAGACCATTTAAATTATTTATTTTGCATTGCATAATGAGTAAAACATTTTTAATAACCAAATATACAATAAAAATAATTATTCATTATCCAACCAATTTAACAAATAAACACCAACAGAAAAACCTAAACAAGTGTGTAGACAATATGTGAATAATTTTTTTAATTAAGAGTTCATAAATGTTTTCAACAAGTAGCATGTCATATGAAAGAAAAAAATATAAGAATAAAATTGCAAATAAGGCAATACTAATAAATGTTTAGTGTGCAGCTATAACGTTGTTTGCTATATATTATATTACTTCACAAATTAGTTATACTGTGCCTATTAATAAAAAATAAATACCGAGCGATAATTTAAACCAATAATAAAAATTAACATCCAAATAATCATTTATTAAATGTAAAATTATTAAAGCTTGGTTATAAAGTTTTGATATATTTTTTTTAAATTAGAATAGGAAATTGATATTAAAACTAATTTATTGTAACAAATTACCTACCCAACTCTTATATTTTAAAACAAAATAGAATTTTACTTGATCCTAAGATTGTTATGTAACATTACGAACAACAACATGAATGACATTGCTATATTATTAAATAGATAATACAAACCACTTAAATTAAAACAAGATAATTTAAATTTTTTAATAATTGATTTAACTAGTTTAGAAATTGGTTTAAGTGTTTGGGTGGAAATAATATAGGAATAAATGTTAGACATTTCGTTTTAAACAAAATCCTCTCAAGTCTCAATAATATTATTGTGTGTACCTACACTTATAAGTAGATATGGCAAAATAGAAAATGTCATTTCGTTCACAGATCTTACAGAAATATATGGATTTTAATCCCTTCTTATGCTGATAACACAATTATATGCTTAAAATAATAAAATAGGGTCAACAAAATTATAAAACACTAAATTTAAACTTGAAAGAATTAGAAGACTATATCTAGACTAGTCAAAGTATAAAATATTAACAACAAGTAATAGAAAATTCAATAACTAGAGTGTTACATTTACATATTTCATATTACATATTTATATTTATAAACAAATTTCCAACAAGATAACATTTTGTTGGCATCATATTCTCTTAGGTTCTTAAATAAAACAACTCCTTCACAGTGTTGGCAATAAGTAACCTGGTTTTTTTAGGTATGCATAAATCAATATTTTTGGGGGAAAATGCCAAACATTAGCTTGGCTTAGACTAAACAAAAACCTTCTGATTTTTTTTGTTTGCAAACTCTGCTCCTTCACAAAAATGTTCAATTAAGTTAAGACGCATGATGTGTAATCATAGTTTTAGAACGGTATTCGCTAGAGAAATTGTGCCACAAACATTATATCGTAAGCAACATTGTATTTCGTAAAACAATAAGAGGCCTCTCATTACCTGTATTATACTTGTATTTATTAAAAACTCACTTGTTATTGTTTAATACGAACGAATCCATTTTGGGTGGTTCTTAGATGATTTCTGTCGCTGCGTGTTAACGGTCCGGTCGTTTGGCGTCTGTGCAATATGGGATACACTTATTAATGTCACTATATTATTTAAAATGCGCGCACAACTGAATTGGATGATACAATATTTTCATAGAATTTGAAAATAAAATAAAAATTGGTTTAAAGAATATTCATACAAGACGAGTATCACGGCGGTTTATCGAACGAATCGTTTATCGGGACGCAACATGGTGAATCGAAACTATTACAACCTATTTAGCATTTACTCATTACAGCGACGTTCAACACTGTTCAACAATCACTATTTAGGTTTCAGTACTCACTAGTCACTACAATCAACGGAGTAGGTACGATCGACGCACGGACTATTACTACTTATCGCGATAATCTACCGATCAGCTGGCACGGCCTCCCCCCCTCCTCCCGCTCTTGAGACGGTTCAGTTCCCACGACCACAGTGTATACCTAATAGTTGCCTATGGTAATTTGTAACATTTATCGCGTAGTAACGGGTGAATTACAATATTATAAAATATATCTAATATTGCAAACCGCAAAGAAGTTTCTTCCTATCCTTCCCTTGAACAAATCAATATCATATACTGTATTATTACATGCCACCTTGTGTTTTTGAAATCGAAATCGGTAAGATCGCTTTCCAGTTTGAGACAATTGACGGAACGAGAATTCTTTTTCCTCACCGACAGTGAGATAGGTTAACCGCAAGCGAGAAAGGTCTGCAAAAATAATGAATATCGATACTGTTTTATGTATATACATAATTTAATAGTGTCATACCTGTCAGCCTGTACACGCAGCGATTGCACAACAGTAGGTAGCAATCATACAACGCCGTTTTGGAAAGTTCGTGTTTAGCCCACAACAACTCGCGCCTATATTAAATCTTATTAACCTGTTTACATGGGTTTGAACCTCTGCGTTTAATCAATTTGTACTTAAATATTGGATACATACATTTTTATACATTGTATTTTTCAAAAACAAATTCACTTTTTGGGTATTGGGCTAGGACAAGGCCGGGTTTAGCCAAGGTCCTAAACGCCAGGGACTAGAACCGAACCTAAAATTACCGGTTTTAGAACCGCAACCAGAGTTTGAAGGTACACAAATGGTCTCATAAAAAACATTTAGAACCGGAACAAAACCTTCATTTTAAACATTTCACGAACCGGAACCCATCCGTAGCGCATAAGGGGGTTATGCCCCCCTCCCTTAGAAATATTTGATACCTAGTATGGTAATATTTTTTATTAACATCAAATTTTGTAATTTTTTTAACAAAAACCAAAATTTAACATTTTTTTATTTTGTTTTGTCTAAATTGGGCTTTAAATTTTCTTTAGTACATCTTTTTGTTATTTATAATCACTTTCAAAGTTATGAAAATACAGCTTTATGATTTTTCAGCATGTTTTACACGTTTGAATAATTTTCGAAAATAATTGTAATTAAGTACATTCTAAAAAAGTATAATAAGAAACTTTCTAAACTCAGTATTAATGTGGAATGTTTTACAAAAAAATTAGTGATTACCGATTTTTGTCTTGCAAGTTCTAACTTTGGATAATATCCAACTAGACGAGCTAGCAAAAATTGAAGCTCAGCTTCAGCGAAAAAGTCTAAAAAAATGTTATTTTCAAAACTATATGCTTTTTAGCCAAAAAGCCACTACTATTTGTTTAGCTAACCATTAAAGATGCAGTAATATTACGAAACATATAGACTTTTGAGGTGTTTAACTTTTCATTACATTACTATTGCATACTAATTGCACAAATTTAGGAGGACTTTGATGTTATACTTGTAAATACTTATTTAAATTATATTCTAAATTTTGAAAAATATGTTACCAAACCTAGACCGTGGTCGTAACTCACAACAGCTGATTAATGATCATAACAATATCGATTTTTGATTATTATCAAATTATGAAAACACAAAATTTTATCAGTTTTATTTTTCCATTCTTGACAGAGATAACTCGTGATATTCGCTAGTACGTCCTACGTTCATTTTACTTAAGTTTAGTTTTTCTCGTTAAATAATTATTTTCATGTATTAGTCGTAGCCGATTAAGGTTTTTTAAAACAAATATATATACAAATATGTGTAGACATGTTATTTATACTTAAAACGTCGAGTCGTGTATTTATGTTTTTACACCTATAATAGGGTTTGGCGTTATGAATATTTTACGAAAATATTATTAGTATTCTTTGAACTAACATACTTACAGCAATGGCAAAATTAGTTACCGACCCTTGTGGCATATTTTGTATAATATTCACATACTCGTCCATAGTTTATGCTGACTATGTAGTTATCAAATGGGTTGTTCTGCACACTATGCAAGAAAGGTACATTTCATGTTGTTTGTTGTGTTTTGTTATCTAAAGACTTAATAATATTAGATTTTATGCTTTTATTTTAATCGCCTATGAACAAAAATATGTATTTAAGACAAAAAAACAAAATATTATTGCTAAAATACTAGTTATACGTTTTTTTAGAATAAAAATGTGTATACATTTAATTTTTAAATAGAATATTTTACTCCACTATTTTTTGTTAGTAATTGATAGCACCTTAGGTTAACTAAGTATAGAAATAAAAAAATATTTATATAATCTATTTAAATATTTATATCTTTGTATTTTGATTTATAGATTATTATTTACAGTGGCCAAGTGTCAAGAAACAATAAGACAATGTCTACCCACTTTTATAAAATTTAAATAACAAATAAGTTTATACAAATTTAAAGTACAATGTTTTTTTAATTGTCTTTACGACTTTAAGACTCGCGTCTCGCTAATATTAATTTGTATAAATTATCACTACTGGTTTTTGTTATTGGTTGCAATTTACATGACATATTTTTTATTTGTTTTTTTAGTTTATGGGCGCCATTCCATATAGTGCTCTTTAACACGTTTTTGTTGTTGCTGATGGTTTCTCATTTAAGAGCGATGTGTTCCGATCCTGGAGTTGTACCATTACCGCCCACTAAAGTTTCGTTGCCCGAATTACGCCAAGGTATAGAATTTATTTGATATCAACTTAAATAATATATGATAACAATACTTATGCCATGAGCATCGTTAAGTTATATTAAACACATTCTTAACTAAAAATTGTAGTGAAAAAAGAAGATTGGACAATTTGCACGAGGTGTGAAACATATCGACCTCCGCGTGCCCACCACTGTCGAATTTGCAAACGGTGTATTAGGCGAATGGACCACCATTGTCCATGGTAATTTTTTTTTCTTCGAATATTCCCCACTAATCAATTTTTTTATGTTTAAATTTTGTTATTTTCTGTTTACGTTTAAAGGATCAACAACTGCGTCGGGGAAAACAATCAGAAATATTTTGTACAATTTTTATTCTTTGTGTGTGTCCTCTCGGTATATACAATAATGCTGGTCATAATGTCTTGGGTTCGCGAGTGCCGAGAATGCAAAACTTACGATATAGACACAAGACAAACACAAGTGTGAGTACTTAATGTCATGTACAAAATGCTGTTTCGTTTTCATTTAAATATTTTTTTTTTTTAGCTTACATTCAGTTCTTTTAATCATGGAAAGTACTTTGTTCGGCATGTTTGTCATAGCAATTTTATATGATCAAATGGACGCTATTTACAACGATCAGACCATTCTGGAACAAACTGTGTACAAACGACAAAATCCATTCTATAGATATATGTTTTCTTATATGTGTAGGTGGCCAAAATTGTCGAGAAGTACATCCAAGTCTAATATCCGTTCCGTGTAATTTTATTAGAGTTCGACATTTAAATAATACAATGCAAAATAAGGAATGTTGTATAAACAGAATTTTTTAAATTGTTTACTATTAGTTATTATTTACTTTAACTTAATGAGATATGCCAGTACATTTGTTATGTTTTTGTATGTTTAATTAAATAATTAATTATGTAAAGCTCTTGCATTATTTTTAGTAAGAACTAATAAAGTATAAAATCTTTTATATTAAAAGTAGTATGCTTTCTATTATTTTTTTAATCCATGTCTAATGTATAATTTTTAATTTTTAAGTAAACCTCATTATAAATTATCTAAACGTAAATGAAAAAAGGTCTTATTATAAAAATACTATACTTAAGTGCAATAATTTTTTTAAGCATAAATTAAAATGTCTAACATTCGTACTTTAGTTTTTAAAATTTTCAACCTTATAAATTTTGCTATGCTAAATTTGTATGTAAATGTATTGCAATTTGTCTAGTATAAGCTTTATCAAACTGTAATATGATATATAAATTATAGGCTACTAGTATTTTTTATAACAATTTAAAACAAATTATTTAATTTGTTTTTATTTAGATAACTTTTTAAAACTTATTTAGAACAAATTTAAATATTAAAATGAATGTTAAGTCTGTAATTTTTATAAAGCTATATGTTATACTTAATGTATTTTATATGTTATATTTATTCACATAAATAATACACTCTCTAACTTATTCTACACAAAAAAGCAAATCTATAATACAATGTTTGTATCACTGAGAACTACTATAGTATTGAAGATCTTTATGTGACCGCCGTTACCAATGTAAACAAATTTATTTTTATTAGTGATTATAAATATACAAAATATAACTTTCCTGAAAGTATTTCAAATTTTGTGTTTATTTTCCTATGTTCCTAGTCTGGTAATAACTATTTTTGTGTTGAAATTAAATTAAAAATTTTTTTTTTTTTATACTCCATAAAATGGGGTGACTTACATCAAGGCCTAAGTATATATTTGAAATAATAATACTACGATTAAGTACAATAATTATGAATGCAACAATTATTAGGTATCGTCTGTTGTGCGTTGTCATGGAGGATTCCGTTTGTTTATTGATTAAACGAAATTGATATCTCGAGCTTTTTTTCCTGCACAGTAGGGTGTACGCAACTTATGTAATTGTCAGAAAATCAAATTAGAAAAAAATTTATATATTATTATTAGTATTGCTTGTTTTTACATGGATTCGACGAAATTATCTTATAATGAGGAGTTTGAAGAAGACATTTATGAATTTGAAGCACTCGATGATGCTTACGACGATTCGGAGATCAAAAAAGAAGTTTATAATAGCGAAGATTTAATATCGAAGCCGATAAAAAGTGAACAATGCACGCTCGACGAAAACATTGTACTATTCCAGTATCCTTTTGAAATCAAGACACTATTTTATAATGAAGTTAGTAATCATGGTGTCGTAACAATTACTGTTCTTGAATAGTTATTATTTGAATCAGGAGGATTAACCGCACAGACTTTAAATTATCCATATTATCCTATAGCCAAACAGTATAAACTATAAATATTCCTTAAGCAATTTTATAGTCATTCGTTTGGTTATGACTGTTGTTCGAGATTCTTCAATATTTGTGCGGCAGACGACCATACAGTGGTGTATGCATCAGGAAGTTTTATTCATATGTTGGACGTTGACACTGGCAATTTGAGTTTTAGGAAATGCGCTGGCGACGGAGGAATAGGCCATATCACTGTGAGTTAACTTTTTAACAGAGTTAGGCATATGATAGGTACTTTATTTTTTATACAGGTGGAAAATACTTGATAGATAACTACATGTATAAATATTAACATTTGTTCATACACTGAGCCAGGATTTTATTTGCGAGAGGGCTAACCTTTATTTACCGAAATTTGTTCCATTATCAAAGGTTTATACAAATTTTAATTGTAGTTTATTAACGAAATTTATTGTTCTATCTTGTAATATTATGTAATAATGGATAATATATTGTAGTATCTTATATCATGACATCTGTAATATAGGTAATATTGGTAAATATAACTTACGTCATTTAAAAGGTAACTAAATCCATTTTTATAATGTATCAACTTTTATGTTTTACATGATACTTGATACAGGTATGTGTTTATTGTTAAGAATGATATTAAGTCATATTTGATACATTTTTTTTGTATCAGAGTACTGGAATTGTTAGTATGCTCACCTCAGCTTTAAGAGTTATTTGTATAATCTACCATGAGAAACCTAGACTATTTTTAATTATTTGACGTTGACTAAAATAGAAAAATCCGGCTTATAGTCACATAGCGGTCGGAGAAAATTGCTCGAACCCTTCCATCATCGTTTACGAGTGGCCTACTTTTAATGTTATTAGTGTACTCAAGGAAGGCACGAAAAAACGATACAATTGGTTAACGTACAGGTAATGGTTAAATTATTGAGTACGACGACAACTGATTTATGTTTTTGCGATTGTTTCAGCAAAAATGGAAATTATTTATGTTCGCAAGGCGGGGAACCGGATAATACTATAACAATTTGGGATTGGGATAAATCTAGAATAATATTGAGGACGAAATCGCATAGTCAAGATGTGTACGTGTGTCGGTTTTCAAATTTTATACCAGATCACTTGACCACCGCGGGTTCGGGGCATATCAAATTTTGGAAAATGGCAAAAACTTTTACCGGGTTGAAGCTTCAAGGTCGTCTCGGTCGCTTTGGAAAAACTGAAATATCGAATGTAATTGGAACGTTTTCCATGCCAGACGAAAAAGTAATATATTATTTTATTTTATACAATAACAATAACGGCTGGGTAGTTGTAATGTAGTTATAAATTATAATAGAGGGAAAAAGTGGGGTCGTAATTAGTGGTCTGCCCAAAGCGGGTAACAGGGGAATTTTCATGGAAGTTTGTAGATCAACGAGGGCTATAAAACGGGGCATAGGACAGAATAGAGTGAGACGGTAATTTTTAAGTTTATAAGGGACAAGTGAGTATAGGAGAATCAATTTGATCGGAAAGTATGTTTGTCAAGAAGGAAAGATTAGGTAATCAGCTGTCTACGGTCTGCTAGGTTTAACAGACCCAGGGTGAGTGGGACAGGCGAGTAATCATGGGGAGGACTGGAAGTATTGAGTCTTAAAGGAATTAACTGATAAATCTCCTCTGAGCTTTCTCGACCATAGAGCTGGCACATGTGGATGCAGGGTCTCGAAGAATACTGTCGTACACGAGTATAGGACACGCCAATATACAAAGTAAAGGATTTTGAGAGACAGGACAAGATGGTAAGGATTTTCGAAGGGCGAGGTAGAATAGTTATTGAAAGATAGTCACTAATACTAAGTCTGGGAGTTATGAAACCTAGTTTGAGGACAGAAGTGAAAATACAAGAGTATCCGGAGGGATATTACCAGCATATATTCAAGTATTTATGTTAAACATTTTTCAATAAAGTCATATTTACCCTCGAAATAAGGTGATATCCGGTTGCGAATGGGGAAACATATTGGTTTGGGATGAAGAGCTGATCAAAATTCAGGTGATGAGGAAAGGCAGGAAACCTTGCCATCTGGCCCCAATCATCATGTTCTTGTACAGTGAACAGAATATGGAGTTGACCAGCGTGAGCATGGACGGTACGATCAAATCGTGGTACTATTACACAGTTGATATGGCTGATCCGCCTGAAAACGACAGAGTACTAGAAATTGAACCATCGTTTACAATTACCGTACAAGACGCCATCGGGACCGCTAAAATAATGGGAATGTGCAGGATTAATGACGACGTTAACTCGTACGATTACTTCATTCAAGTAATACCAACATTTTTTTAAAAATTCATCTGAAAAATATAACTTAGCAATTACTTATTTAGGATGGTAACGGAGGAATATGGTTTGCGGATATCGAGATATCGGCTAATGCAAAACCTTTGAAACGATTAGCCAAATTTCACGGTGACACAATAACCTCTTTGCAACCTTCGCCCGTTGGTTACTATATTGCTACATCTTCACTAGACGGATGGTTTCATCTTTATGACATTGTAAACAGGAAATTAGTGTTTACTCACGACTTCAAGAAGCCAATCACGTCACTTATTTGGTTACCACTAAAAGTATACTAACGCCCATTTGATTTTTTAAAATTAATTTCTAAAATATTTATGTGAGCAGATGGCGAAATCTGGAAGCATCTTTGTCGCGGGATTTAAGACTGGGCTTTTAAAAATGTTCTTAGTGCCTCTCGAGGAAGTAGTAAATGGAGAATCTGTTGACATCACACAATTACAGGTGATTTATAAAATAAAAAAACAAAAGGCTTAATTCATAAAATTGTACAGTATTACAGATCGATACTAATAAGTTAAATATTATTATTATAATAATTTATAACTATTACTGATTTCTGGTTGGGAATAATTAATAAAAAAAAATAGCGATTCAATGCCAAATTCTATTAGTACAAGTATAAAGTACAAACTTCTTTCGTGAGGTATAATTAGCATCTTGATGGAGTCTCATGAATGACTCAGGCAGGTTTAGGCCTCCTAGCTCTCGCCTCTCTCCCCATTTGCACTTAACTGTATGCAATAATAATTAATATGTTATACCTGCTGTTTCATAAATTGTTTATTTAAGGCGACAAAACCTCATAAAAGCACCGTAAGCCATTTAACGGTAAATAATAATTTCAAAATAGTCGTGAGTGGGAGCGAAGATTGTTCAGTATTCGTTTATAAACTACTAACGAATCCGTTAAAGTTGGAACCCGTTGGTATGTATCCTCTTCCCGGAGCAGTCACTTTTATCTATTGGAAACCTTCGAAAGTAAATTAGTACGCAATCATTAAAATCAATCGTCAAAACAATAGCTGTTGTTGCTTTCAGAAACGTACTGCCTTGGTGAGTTGCGCTAGTGGACACATCTTAGAATTAACGTTTCCCACAAGTCGTCCGTTGTACACTAAACAAACGTTTACTCTGAATCTCGAACCCCGCGTGATTGAAACGAAGAGCATCAAGTCGGAAATAATTCGAAACGAATTCATAAAGAAAATGAATGAAAAAAAAGAGGAGAAAAAAATGCGAAAGCGAGAAAAATTAAAAATATTGAAGGAAAACAATCCGGGAGTAGAAATCGACGAAGAACTGTATTATATAGACTCTGAGGAGGACGAGGAGCCACCAAAAATCTACATACCGCCTGAACCAAATCAGGTGTTGTTTGCTATTTACACACCTAATGAAAAAACTGTATGGGTGTCAATCGATGGTTATGATGCGGGCTATCTATACGAATACGACTTGGACACTTCGAAACCAGTAAATTTCATTTTTATTCCTGACAAAATCGACCTGCCACTTTCATCCGTTTCAATGTTGTGAGTGTATACATAGGTTTAATCGAATAGTTAACCATTCGCTTACAAACGAATAATTGCGTTTTTTTTTTTGTTGTTTAGTCAATCCGATTTGCTGATGGTAATTCTAATGGGCTTTGCCGACGGCAGAATGCGAGTGACGAATCTCAGCTTGGAAGACCCTTCAAACTTCAACGACTTTGTAGAGTACTCAATGCATGATAACATAACGGGCATAATTAAGTGCATATGCTTCAGTCACGATTGCCGGATGCTGTACACATTAGGCGAAGACGGTAACGTTTTCAGCTTCAATTTTCAGTGTGATTACAACGCCGAGGAAAAATGCGCGTTGCCAGTTACTGAATTGCCTCCGACGCCCATACTAACGGTACCCTGCTTGAGTTGTATGGGCTTAAACGACAACTAACGCTCTATTAAATCGGTTTCAGGACGAAGACTTCGTGAAGACTAAAGAAGATCTAATACTCAGCTTAGAAGAGAGAAAAATCAATAAAGAAAAATGGAAAGCAATGAACTTGGCGAATAAAGAAAAGAACAAAATTAGAGACACGTTGAACTTGCTTAAAACGAGATTTAAAAATGTACTCACCAATAACAAATCCTTACCCGAACCTCTGCAGTTACCGCGAACGTATTTTGAACTCGACGAACGGATAACTAGCTCTCTCATTGCCGAAGCTGAGGTCGAAATGAACGTACTACGTTCAAAATTGGCTTATGACCACGAAAAAAGCGAATTGGCTTTGAGAAAAGTAAAAAATTACTTCGTCGCTGATGTGGTGACGTCGTCATTTTCCGTACATGGAATATCGTACGTGTGATGTAGTTTTAACGGTTTATTTTTCGTTAATTCCACCTAATAATATATCGATTTGTTTACCGATTATTTCGTAGAAAAGATATAACAGTCGAATCGATAGATCACAAAGAACACAGGGAAGTTTTCGGGAACTTGGTCAGTGAATTATTAAATAAAAAACACCCTAAACGAAAGTAAGTTGAAAAAATAGTTTTTCATACAATACTTAATAGCTAATCGTGTAACTTGTTATTACTTGTTTATAATAATTTATAATTTAATTTGATTTAATTTTCACGCTGCTTATATTAGTTTTGACAAATTTAGAGATATAAACAGTGTAAGGTCTGTAACTACTTTATCATATATATATTATTTAATTATTGTCTTCTTTTGTGATCATCTAAACATATTATGCTATCGCTTATTATTTTTATTTTAACAGGCGTCGTAAGTCTACCATACTAGACAAACCTGCTGACGATACTATTCATAAATTAGCAGAATGGGAGGTATTTCTCCGAAACGTGCGTGAGCTCTATGATTCTTTACCAAAAAATGTCCAGACTGCTATTGATAAATTTACCGAAAGGAAACATTTTGAAGAAAACAAAAAGCTCGAATTGAAAAACATGGTATTGAATAAACCCGACGGCGACAAATTCAATACAGAAGAAGAAACCGCAATAGATGTGGCCACTAATATGATTGGAGATATAAATTTAAAGTCATCGCCAAACTATAAAGTTCCACCTGATGACACGGTACTCATGGAAGACAAATATGAAGAATACATGGACATCCATAAAGAGGTCTATATTTTTAGTATTTTAACTGCTTGAGTCTCCAATTTGTTTTGAAATTTTGCCTATGGGACATTATTAATGTCGCACGTTTTCTGTTTACAGATTTCTAAAATTAAATCTAAGTTTAATGGCAAATTACTCGACTTGAAACAACAGAAAATCAGTCTCATACAAGACTACAAACAATTTCTGTGCGACGTTCGAATGATAGAAAATGAATTAAATGATTCAACAATTTCAACACCTGATGATTTTCCTACGATACCCGTTGACAAATTTATTGATGTGAGTAGCGTTTCCAAAAATTATTGAAATTTGTTATTTATTTAACATTTATTTGTAGCCAAAGTCCGGCGTTTCATTCACGACCGCCCACAGTATGAGCTCTGAGTACTTGTTATTATATCCGGAATACTGTTCCTTATATTCGGAACCAACCAGTAGCTCGGATATGCAAGAATACAATCCCAAACCTTCAATTCTAGAAAATTTGATGAAAGATATGAGGAGAGAGAAACTAAAATATAAACACCGATGTTTGCACGAATCGATATTGGCGAAGATTGATATGTTTGACAACAGACTGATAAAACTGGGCGGACAAAAAAATGACTTATTGTTGCGTATAACATTTTTAGAGTTATTTACCGTGACTCTGGAAGAAGAAATGTTAATATTAAATGATTTTGACTTGCTCGAAGACCAGTATTCTTACGATCTACATGTCATCACCGGAAAACAGAATGCAAAAGCTGAGCATGTAATTTTTTTTAATCTAAATTCTAAACATTCATATCTTATAAATTTAAATGTGATGTATAAGTTGCAATTATCAGCAAATTACCATTCTTATCATACCTCTTCGCTTTTATTTTTAGATTCCAATACTATCCTATGCCTTCATATGTCCCTAGTAAACTTTTTTTTACCCAAAATCAGACTCCATTTCTTTTAAAAATTCTACTCCCTTAGCCCCGCAAAAGACTTTCTCGTTTGTTAAGTTTTCTGTCCAGCTCAATATGAGCGTTCTAATTTTCACTGTAGACTGTAGTCTAAGTCCTACCACACTTCAAAAAAGAGTTTTCAGTAGATTTTTCCTCACTTTTAAATTTTCTTATTTTGTTATGGCCTAAAACTTGTTTAAAACGGTTGGCAGATAATGTATATTGAAGACAATGTTCGGCGAAACTATAAAATTATTGAAAACAAAACCAAAGAAGCTATTGACATTCAAAATTTGTTTGAAATAGAAATTCGAAATAATAGTTTTGCCAAACATTTGAGGAAAATCTTCAAAAAAAAATACAAACCCATTCGAGCAAAATTAGACGACGAAGGTGGAGGATTTTTATATCAATTTCAAATTTAAATATTTAATGTATTTCTATCGAAACTAACGCTTGTTTTATGAACAGATTCACTCTCATCATCGTCGTCGGACGATGATGACGATTCCGACTCCGACACTAACGACGATGTTAGTATAGATTCAAATACCTTGTTTGGACAATTATTATTCGACGAAACTGTGTTACCTGAAGGATGCGATCCAAAACTATTTGCTTTGACCTTTGAGCTGCGTTCGAACCGTTATGAAATCGAACAATTTATAGAGAGTACCTATAGGGAAGTGGAGGTATTGAAGAAAACTTTATCCGTCGAGTTAGCCGAACTAAATGTTATCGATAACAATGTATTGATAAAAACCAATCAACTGGACGCTTATCGAGTAAGATGATATTTTGTTGTATATTATTATGCATTAATGTGTAATTGTGTAAATGTGGAAAAAGTCAAGTAATTAAATATGTACTCGCATTTAAAAAAATTATAGGTAGAAAAAAAGTTGAAATTAAACGACATTGAAACTACGGTGTTGTTAACTGAATTGCAAATGACTAAAGCTAAATTACTATCTAACTCCATTTTAGTCATGGCAAATGTCATGCAAAACATGAAATCTAGAAGGCTGGCGTTGGAAAGAGAAAAAAAAGAGATAAAAGAAAAAATGAAAGAATTAATGCTACATTCGAGGAGGTTGAATATCGACATCGAGTACTTGCGAGAAATTTACAAAAATTGTCACATCGACATTAAGGACGAGATGATCACGAAATTCAGAATGATTATTAGTCTTGACGATATGGAGATGACAATTATCAAGTACATGATTACTCAAGCCAAATCTAACGCAGATGAGTTAAAATCACAATTCAACAAACAAATAGATACGTTAAAAGTACATAATTCATCAATACATATTATACACACAGTTTCACCAAGTGTTTGAATTAATCGGTTCAATCCGTAGCAACGCTTGGAGGAATTGGGCAGTAACCGCGTACACCTATCATATAATCTATCATACATTTAATATATATTTGTAAATTATGTTTTAGAAAGAATTCAGGAAGCTACAAGAGTTTTTAATGAATTTACTAAAAATTAATACAAGCAAAACAATTACATTGGCTGCTCTAAAGGAAAGCATCCAACAACTCGGACAAGCTATTGCTGTTCAACAAAAAAAAAGTGTAATTTTAAAATAATTTTATTCAGTTTATTTTTCGTACAATTTTTAATTTTTTTGTTTTAATGTGATTTCATTTTTTTTTCATAGAAAGCTATTCATGATATATCTTCCAATGCCAGTATCTATGAAGCCGATATAGCTACACTGCAAGACGTACTAGATGCGTTATTGGCTCAAAAACAAGAACTCAATGGCGAAATAAATGCAATAAAATACAAAGGTAAAATGTTTCCGCCAATCGTCAAACCCTCTGTCGATAAGGTGAAACCAGAGAGTCCAGTAGATGTCGATATTCAATCAGCCACCCTGACTTCACAAGAGGCCGAAAGCAGAGACTCGTGGTCGGAGGGCGAAGAGGATGCTTACAACATGGAGTTCAATATGGAATTGAAGAAGACGTCTTCGATAAAACAACAGTCCCAAATCCGAAGTCAACAGTCGTTCAAATTGACGAAACAAGCATCGCGTTACAGTTATGAAAGCGACGAAGAAACGTACGACGACGAAGAATGGAGAAATTATAAATATCTGTACAGCAATGAGTTGCCGGACGATGTAAGTTTTTCGAAAGCTACGTTCGAAGACTTACAACAAATTGAACAAGACATTTTGAGCGACGAAGATCAGACGGAACAAAAATCCTACGACGAAGAGATAAACCAAACGGACCAGAAATCGTTGCCCAGAGCTGAGGAATATCAAACGGAAGGTAAACAATCGAACAGCGACGAACAAGGAAATCAATTAGAAGACGAACTATTGAGCGACGAGGGAGCAGATTTATTTTATACAGAGTCAGTTTTAGGGCCTTGACATAAGTCCATTTTTATTTTATTTGAAAACACGTATCTAAGTAGGTACTGTATAAATGGTCTCATTGTGTTCTACTTGTTAATTTCAATGTATAAATTATAATATTTCTTTTATGAATTAATGTACTTTACACCCTTAACTTGGCAACCATCAACTTTTAAGTAATAGTACTTTTTATGTTGGTGATGGAAAGTTACGTGTGGAAGTTATGTATCTTCGGAGCTGTGGTGTCAAGTGGGTTGACTTATTTGTGTTGAATTTAGCAACTTAAATAGGTAGGTACATGTGTCAAATTTCAATAAATCATACTTATTGTGTACCCTTTTTTTAAAATTTTTTTATAGTTTATACAATAGTTTACGGTATTTCTCGTTATTCTTTAAGAAACTAAGTTAAAAGTTCACATTTAATGTGGATAAGCCATATTTTGTCATAACCAGCCATAGATAATAATCATTAATCTATATAATAGGTAATATGTAACCACCAAAATTACTGGTACTAAGTAATCCGTTAGTATCCTTTAGTACTTGTCAGTTGTCAGTAATAACACAGGTCACAGCTATATGAACAGTGAACACGGTCTATTTTCATATACCTAGTCTGTGGTAATAATTATATCAGAAAGTGTTCTTATCTATTGTACACAATATTCACTGATAGCAGTGTTTATGGATAATGTTATTATACGTAGGTATTAGGTCTCTGATCGGTCTGATATTTTATTTAATAGGTACATAAATAAGCTTTTACGGTGGCTAGCCATTAGTTTAACGGAGTACGACTAACGTTAACGTATAATAATATTCCAATATACTTGAAATATTTTTGTATACAAAACGCGCATCTTACGTGATATCATCAAAAATGCAACGAGAAGACAAACAATTGGAATTGGTACTTGAAAATTTCCACACTAAACTAAACGAATTCAAAGCTCAGATTTATGCACTCATTTTCAAATTGGAACATGAACGAGATAACATTTGTTGGACCAACGTACTCGATACGTTTGCTGTATTTTCTACTCAGTATACAGCCATCATGAAGTATCTGTCTTTTGAGAAAATACCACAACTACGTAACTATACCATTCTGCCTCTGTTATTAAATCCCGACCGCGATGAAGATTTGGCACGTAGCACTGAAAATCGTGTCCAAGCTTTGTCTCATGACGTCGTGCCAGATTTCCTTCGTACCAAAACAGAACCCGAAGTGGAACATAAACTTATGCAGGTAAGAAATTGTGTTTATTATAGTTACAACAATGCCATATTATAATAGCAATATTATATTTTGCTATTTGTAAATTAGGTAGAGCATAAAGCTGGCGGCTTACAGAACGAGACCGCGTTAAAGCAGCTCACCGCTTTTAATAAAGTGGTGAACCACGTTCTGGATCTAGTGTCCAAGGCTAGAGAAGAGTGGGAAGTAGAAACCGGTGCACGAGTTGGAATTGGTCAGACGTCGTCAGTGCCTGATTTGCATACGCTCGTGGCTGCTGTCAGCATGGGCAAGAATCTAAAACCAATGGTACCACAAGTTTCTCCTGGCGGTATGATGGTGCCACCTTCTGGAAGACCGGTGACTCCCGGTATGGGCCCAAATACTCCACCAATGGGTATGATGCCAAAACCTCCTCCGAACATGAAGACTAATGTAAAGGCTGCTGGAGCTCCACATCAGTATCGATAGATTAGTAATTCAATAGTTTTTAATGTTTGTATTGTAAAGTGTAACAAAATTCACGCTGTGTGCATTTCTTGATTATTTTACGAATTTGAATTAAGTGTTAAATTAAACAAAATCATTTTTAACGTCTTTCAGAATACTATTTTCTCAGGTGAAAATTAAAATTATTAATTAAGTAATGCCAATTAAAACTGAATTACCGTACTTTGGGCTTAACAGCCATTGTGGAGTAAGTTAAATTGATTTAAACCACTTATGTAAACATAGTATATGGCATGGTTGAAGTATACAGGTTGTTGCACGTCTCAAATTGTTATCTTCAGAAATAAAATGGCAGCATAGCAGGATATCAATTTTACTATTACTATAAATTTACCGTGTGCTTGTATACTTGATTTTTATTGGCTACCCGTTACACTGACATTTGTTTTTATCATCGAATATTTGATGAAAAATATAAGTGCAATAACCTTGTATATTTCAATTGTGGTGTATGATATGAAGTGTAGACTGTAGAATTAGGTTAGTGTACTCAATTTAAAATAAAAAATAATTTAACAAAACCCAAAGCTGATTTCTTCACCATCAGACGCTGGCGTCAGCTTAGATAAATCAGCTGAAGAATATTTGTAATATTTTATGCAACAATGGAATATAATTTATTTTATTTTATTGTAAACTGTACATCCATGATTATAATTTTCAAGTATATTAATATCTTAAAAAAAGAAAATAGAAAGTGTGTGTGACCAAGTTTGGGAATAAACATAAACATCAGACCACAGATATATGAGAAAACGGTTTATTCAAATTAAGTGGCCAACACCATCTAATATTTTGTATTTCAGGATTTTTAATGTACGTTTAAGTTTGCACAACCCGAATTAATATTCTTAAATATATTTGTATATTAATTATTAGTAAGTACAATTATTAAAGGTTCTGTAATATTTTGTAAATTATATAATATGCTTGATATTAATACAATAATTTAAAAATTACACCAAAAGAAGATATTATTTTGTCGTGCAGAAGTATATTTTGTGCAATTTTTAATATATTTTATAACAAATCAATAAGTTATACATATAATAAATAGATCAACAGTGACAATTATTTACATTAATTTAAATTACAAAAAAAACTTAAAGATAAAAATTAATTATAACTTTTAAAACTACAGTAGGTACATTAAAACGTTTTCATGAAACATGAATGTTGTTATTAACTATAAAATATGCTAAGAATGATACAATAACATTCATACAAAACACTTAAGAATTGTAATATTTAAGTCTTCAAAAATAATTAAAAATTAATCGTCTTAAAACACTATTAGTTTTTTTTGAAACTTTTCAAAATCGGATAAATATTTTCATATGCATCATAAATTTCTTGACGTACTTTAGCGCCTATAAAATAAAAATCGCAACATTTTTTTTAAACTATTATATTGAATGACTTTTAAAGTAAATTTTTTTTGTAAATTAAAATGTGATTTTTTTTTATGAAGTATAATTTACAAAAAAGGAAATAGTTATCTACATTTTTGTAAACAATGTGTAACAATTTATTATCTAAAGAAAAAGAAATGTACTTTGTAATAATTCAAAATCACATTTTCTGAGCAGAGTTGATTGCGTATTAGTCTGGCGATAAGTTCCAACAATTTATACTTTACAATTTATAATTAGTTAATAAATGTTAATTACCCGTAAGTACTACTTTTCCTGATACGAAAATTAGTAACACGATACGTGGCTTGACCATACGATAAATGAGACCAGGAAATAACTCTGGCTCATAACTAGAAACATAAAATAATAACTTAGTAATCATTTTTTATAATAATTGTATGGAAATCGAAACCAACCTGCTGAATTGGCCATGTGTGAGCACTAACCCTTCAAGGCGAATGGGAAATTTGACATCACAACTTCCAACCATATTTTGAATTTTGAAATCCAAAAATTTTGCCTTGAAAAATTATGATAATATTATTTAAAGTTGTTATTATTATTATTATTACTATTATTTTATTACGGGAAAACTGAGCTTTTGAATGATTCTTGCATATTTTCTTGCAGCGAGTCTTGAGTCTTCTTCACTTTTGGCACCAGTACACACCATTTTTCCAGAGCTAAAGATTAACGCCGTTGTACGAGGTTCTCGTATTCTCATAATGACCGCAGCAAATCTTTTGGGGTTGAACTCGGCATTTCGAGCATGTAAGGCAATAGTTTTCAAATCGAGCCTGCAGCCCAGATTAACCGTCGATACTATGTTCCTTTTTAATAACAGAAAAACAATCGATATTGTTAGTCCACATTTTACTAATTTTTGTTTTTTTAAATCAAATATTTTTTATCTGAATAGGACAAATTACTTTACAAGTTTTAATTAAAATCACATTTTGTTTTAACTAAAGTATTCTATTCGAAAATGTATTGGAACAAATAGATTTTATTTGCTCTGGAAAAAATAACTGGTAAAAAAAAATGTAACGTTTGCAACTTTAGAAATAAATGATATGACTTAGTACTGTAGTGTTGGAACGATTCCTGGATCAGCCGAAGATGGTGTCATGGGTGTCATCGGAGCTGGAGTGGCTGGATTTTGGATTGTATGTAATGCAGGTATAATTGAAGATGAAGAACTTTGATGTACCTATAATAAATAATATTAAAATTTAATTTAGACTAGTCATTTATACGGGTAGTTAGACAGTAGCCAGATAGGAGAGGAATGGTGGTTAGTTTTCATTGGACGGTTTCTCGTCCAGCAATGTAACACAGCCACCTGTGATCAAGTGTCGAACGGGCAACAGTTTTCCCATCGACACTGCTGTCTTTCATACCCTTATAATATTATTACCGGTGTTTGTGAATGCATCATACTGTGTGGGGTAGCATATCCAGTATTGTTCTGCTGATAGATTCTGTGCATAGGTTGTTGTTGGGTTTGTATATTGTTTGTGCTCATTGACAAACTTTGGGGCGGCATCGGAGGCATTTGCATAATCTGTTGGTCCTCTTCTGGCTGATGAACCGGTGTTCCGATACTGGGGATACTGAATCCCGGACTCGGTAGCATTTGATCCATTTTGAAATGCTGCATATCAAAACAATAATCGTACTTAATTGTTATAGAGAAAATACATGACGAAATAGTATTTATGTAATATGTTACAATAAGATGTACTATTGCTATTTTAATTTTACATTAATAACTATTCAATACTTAAAAGTACTTATTTTACTACCTTAGGAAAACCTGTGGAATACTTACTTAACCACCTTTTTCAATTTCGTATTTGTTTTGCAATTAGCATTTTATTTTCGGTGAATCGTTATTGGTCGTATCAGATAGTTGTTGTCGTTATCAAATTCAACTGAAAACATGACGCCAACGAAAAAACATTATTTTTCTGTTGGTAGCAATGAGTGTGCTTTTATTTTGAATTGTAATGTAATAATTATTACTTGTTTGCTGTTATTACTGTTATAGTAATTAAATTAATTATCTATCTTATTTAAAATTGTAGCAATACTCACATATGTATTGATTTTTTATTGTTAATACTAAAAAATAATTTTTATTTAATTTCAAAATAGGAATTAAAAAAAAAAATGCATTATTTTACTTATAAAATGTACTAAAAATTACTAGAAAAAAAAATTCAAATTCCTCTAGTCACCCTTAATTAAATCATTAAATTAAGATAAGTTGACAATTGAGTAATTTTTAAATATCAACCCAAAAATTAAACCTAAAAATTACCTAAATTGTTTTTTTTTAAATGTGCTTAAATAAATTTCACAATATACTTATCTACTAAAAAGTTTACCTATTTTAAATATGTTTATTAGTCACGTTGTTTTTTATTGTCTTACTTCTAATGTTGTTATAACATACAAAATACATAGCAACACATTGTAAATTTGAATTTATAACTTTGTTGTAATGTTAGCAATTTTAAATAAAGATGTTAAAACTTAAAATCCTAATTAGCTACATTGTAGAATACAACAGTTTTTAAGTTTAGTAGTAATAAAACTTGTCAAAAGTTAAAAAACACTGATTTTGGAACATTCCGATGGGAATTTTAGGGTGATATATTTAATCAATGAATTCGCGTTTGTTGTTGGAAGTGAATATTTAAATAATTGCTTACTTATTTTTATCATAAACAGAGCCATTATCGTTTGTAATCAAATTATGGCAATCATTTCTTTTGATAACCGATAACAGTTAACTGATAACAATAAAACTTCCACAAGTAATTCGTGTACGTACCACAAATCACAACAAGTTTAATAATATTACAAAACAATATGATTTGCTCTAGTGAAAATATAAAAAAATAGTCTTATATAGTTTGTGCACTGTAGTCTGTAAATAATATATTCAAAGTATTTTTTATTTAATTATTAGTAGTATAATAAATCAATTGAAAAAGTAATGGTATGTTATACATTTTTATTAAATAATCTATTTCTGTTGTACACTGTATAGCGGTGATTCTTATTGGTATTTTTGTTTTACACTTAAAAAGGATCCACTGATTGATGATACTATACCGTTCGGAGAAGAAAACTTTGGAAATTCAGGAAAATTAACGTAAGCATCTTTTTATCTCTTTAGTATCTACAGTACCTTAAATTTATTTATTATTCATATTATAAAATGTATTTTTTAGTCATCCATATGTATCATTTTTTCATTTATTCTTCCGCGTCTCTGCGGTAATTCTATATTTCTTCGGAGGAATTTTTAGTCAAAGCTTCATAACTTTATTCGTACTTATAATGTTATTGTTATCCATGGATTTTTGGACTGTGAAAAATATTACAGGTAATGTTTTTTTAATTAGATTAATTAAAATTGAATAGCTTTATGACAATTTATTTGTTTAGGGCGCATTATGGTTGGCTTGAGATGGTGGAATTACGTAGACGACGATGGTGTTTCGCATTGGGTATTCGAATCGAGAAAGGTGAGGCTTAATTTAATTAGTTTTTTTTAGAGCCAAAATTATTATAAAATTTGTATTTACAATTGTATAAGAAATAGTCAGAAAATGTTATGAGTTCCCTTTTTTGATAGGGATCTGTGCAGAACCGAATTAACCCGAGCGAAGCCAGAATATTTTGGGCCGGACTTTGGTCAGTCACAGCTATGTGGGTTTTGTTCTTCATCATATCTTTCTTTAGTATAAATTTCAAATGGCTGGTATGAAATATTAATTACAGCGTTTTGTTTTATATACAATGCTGCATGACTTTTATAATACTCTTTTTGTGTATTTTAAAATTGTTTTTTTTTTTCATTTATAGTTATTGGTGAGCATAGCATTGACGCTAAATATTGCTAATTTATATGGTTATATTAAATGCAAAAATGGAAACCAAGAAAATTTGGGTATTTCTTCGATGGCTAGCAGTTTTTTATTTCAGAATTTAGGAAAAGTAAGATTATATACGACATGTACCTAATAATAATAAATAATAAATAATAAAAAACAAACCATGAATTGTGTGTAACTAGATTTTACTGGTCACTAGGTTGTGCTTTATTTTCATTTTATGTTTTTAACTAAAACAAACCGAATAACGTATAATTAAAATAAAACAGTTCTATTTTATTATAATCAAATTAATTAATATTTTAAAATTACATGTAATATTATTTGCATAAAAAGTATTTGAACAAATTAAAAATTATATTATTTCAATAATCTTATTTTTTGGATAAATTACAGAATATTTATTTTTAAAAAATTTACTAAACCTTTGGAGTTTTTTCAATTTTTTTTTTTTAAATGTTCATTTTGAAATTAATATTATTTTAAATAATATTACAAAATTGTAAGTGGGGATCAATTTTTGAAAACTAACGGAATATAGGAAATTCAGTGAATGTTGATTAAATGAAAAAAAAATGTCTGGGGAACGATCATTACTAGCTAGTTACAATTTCAGATGAATTAAGATTTTAACTAAAAATTTAACTTGGAAATCTAAAAAAAAAACATTTTTGTATTACTTTTGAGCTTTTAAGTGATTTACTTATCTATATAATTTCTGTTATCAACCTTTTAGGTGAGAGAAACAATGTCCAGTTTAAATCCAACGCCAGTAAACAGTCCGCCTAATGTTAGACCAACCGGGATAGTGTAAAACTGTTGAAAGAAATTCAAATTTGTGTTAATTTTTCTTTTGCATATACTATATTCAATACCTACTACAGTATAATAAATGTTACTTGCATAATTGTATTTTAAATTATTTAACATAAAAAAAAAGTAATCATCATTATATTGTATTTAATATTGTTATTCTTGTACTTTTGTTTTCAAATAAAAACTATATTTTGCGCCAACCACCTACGAATTATGTTTCTTGCATCCAAGCAGATATTTATAACATGATAATATGATTTGTTTTTTCATTATGCAATTGTATAAAAACTTTATATTTATAAATATGATTTCTATAAATCTAAATAAACCATAAAATTTAGACTTGTATTTCAAAGCCATTAAAAAATATATTGGAAAAATATTTTCAATGAATTTAAGCGTTATTACACTGGTCACCGAGCATTCTTTTATTATCTATTGTTGTTTACTGTTTACTATATAGAATAGTTTATAATTAATTAAGTTGTGTACGAATAACGATACCTATACTCCGATTGAACTTTTACATTTAATGAACAATACAAGTGCTCATTAAACTACAAACAATTATGGTAATTTTGTTAGTTTTTTTTTTTTTGGTGTTTAACATTGTAAATAAAATAAAGATATTATTATTATTATTTTTTTTATGTGAATACAATTTTTATTTTGATAAATTACAAATGATAATATACTTACGAATTATTGGTAGGTTTCAATGCGTAGTGATTCTGATGGTGTAATTATTTATTCAAATAAAAGATTTCAATAAAAAATATTTCGAATAATGCACAACTTCACATACATTAATGTTACTTCTCTAAAAAAAAAATCTGCTTTAAGAATGCAAATAAAATGTAATACTTTTTAAGATTATGTTATTGCGTGTATTAAAAAAAAATTATGTATTTCATGTTATATAAAGTTGTTGAAAAAAAAAAAAAGGTTTTAAAAAAACGCAAAAAGTTCTATGGTCCAGGTGAGGCTCGAACTCACAACCCCGGCATCGCTCACGACCACTGTCTTATAAGTACCGTGCGCTAACCGATTGCGCCACTGGACCTGCTTGAAATTTGATGATTTTACCCTATTTAAGCGCGGCGTTGATTCCATATTGCATTCCCGTAGTTGTTATTTCTAATCTTTCTCTAATATTTTGCATTATACGATTAATTTGAACGTATTGATAATTTAAAAAAAACTAATATTATTTTTATGCATACATGATAATGATATAAAAGTATGTTTTTATTTTTTGAAATTAAGATGTTTGAAATGTACTCTGACTATAATAACTGAACATTTTTCCATGAATTAAGCATTAACACATATAATGACAATGTTTAAAAATAAAAAATAGATTTTTAAATCGAGATGAGAAAATATAATATTGTTTTTACAATAAATTAGTTTTTATTTTTATTTTGTGTCGACCCACGATAGGTATTTTCAATCTAACTGGTAAACTAGATTTATACCATCTCTAACTCCCAAACTAAGTTCATACGGCAAAAATTGTTTGCAAATTCGTAATAATCTTTAGTTAAACCTTTTTTTTAACAATGAAGAAACAAAAAAGGGATGAATTACTCTTTGGTTGTGGTAAATTTCTAAGTTGCTATGTTGAGTGAATCAACAGTCGACATGTATTTGAAAAATATTTGCAGTGATGTTAATTGAGGTGTATGAGTAACAACGGCAACAAATTATTATAGACGACCATACTCGTATCCTTCCTAATACTAAAAATTCAATTTTAAGCACATTATGTTCATGAACATTGATTATTATCGATACCTATTTAATAGATACTTGTGTGTTACTTGTACCATCTATACATTCGCATCGCAGCGTTTTATTTAATGAATAAATTTAATAAACAGTCATCCGTTTCTTTTTTATAAATACGTTTTTGAAATTTTAGAATTGCTTGCCAAAAACTTATAAAAACATAATAGCTTTAACGCTGCATTTTTGTACTTCCGTCACCTATAGATTGGCATCATAGTGTTTACATGAAAGTGATTTTATTACTTTCAGTTATAATAATAACTGTAGACCTCTCAGCTACCCCGCACCAATATGCACCGGTCACAATAGGTATGTCAAATAATGTTTACTCGACTAACATTACTTGATGACCGATGTGCTGATTCGATTTTATCACTAGATTTGTTTACTCGTTTCGAATGACGCCAAATGTGATTACTCGTTTACTAGACTTGGTTACCTGCTTTGTATACTCCTTTATTAGACGTATTTGCTCGTTTATACGTATTGCTTTCTCGATTTATTAATTAGTTTCGTTTACTCGTTTTGCATTACTCGTTACGCTTAATGAACGAAATATTAATATTACTCGTTCACTAGATTTATTTATTAGATTAGTTTACTTGTTCCGCATGGCTTGTCACGATAAATGCTCGTTTGTTTGCTTGTTTACTCGCCATGCATTATGTTTTACGCTATATTATCGAATTATTATCTCAATATATTTGTTAGAATTGATTACTCGTTTACTAGATTTGTTTACTCTTTTAATTGATTTTATTACTCATTTATTCACGCTCACATTTCGCAATCACGCCAACTAATTTTTGTGTTAGGCACACATAAAAGATACACAATACCATATTTTCATAGGCATCAAAGCTAATGCAAAAAACTCATTGCCTAATTTGTTTTTATTTCCGATGGTCGCGTGATTTAGTGACGAAGTGTGACTGGGTCTATAACCGTAGACCACCCGAAGGGTAAGGTTTCCAGTAGTGGTTTGACCAACTTAAAACGTAGCCGTCAAATGTAATAATTGTAGTTAGGTGAGTTAAATAAGGTGAATGGTAGTTATATTTAAAATTAATAAACGTTTTTGAATCGTTGAATATCTAGCCAAAAACTAATATAAACATATAGATAGCTTTTACGGTGTTCTTTAATTTTTTTTACTTCTATTATGTACAGATTTGCATCAAAGCGTCTCTATTAAAGTGATGCTATCACTTTTACTTATAATAACTCCAATAGACTTTTGACCTCCTCCGTCGCAATACCTATACAATATGTCAATTGTCAAATAACGTTTACTCGACTAGATTGTCGGATCAAGATAAATACTTGATTTATTTACTCGTTTTCTTGTCAAATTATTTATTAAAATAATTTGCTCGTATTGCATACTCCTTTACAACTTTTGCGCGTTATGGCACGCTTACAATGTTTGATTAATTTATTCGATTTGTTTAAACTACTACTAACGAGTTTGTTTGTATTATGTTCATAACTTCAGAAATCAGAATCCCTTAACATTCATTTGTACATACGATGTATATTTATATTATATTTATTAACAATTATTTGTAAATGAATAACTAACATTACTAATAATGATTATTATACAATTTAGATTGTGAGTATAGTATTAGCTAATTTTTGATTAACATGTTTACGGTTTTATAGTTTTCAACAATATAATTTAATATCGGATATATCAAACAATCAAAGCAATAGTATATAGTATAATTTACTAACAATGACATACATAACTTTTAAATAAAAATAATTCAAAGTATAATACATAATATGAACAATTTATGTTTATTTATATTAATTGGCAAATTCGACAAAATATGCAAATGAAGTTATTGTTTGAAAGTTGAACAGTCAAACACTTTTTTTATTTGACAAGGAAAAAATAACACGGTTTATAAAATATGTATTTTATATAAATCCACACATATTGTATTTAAAATTCAAATATTTCCAATGAAATATTACAGCAATTTGAATTTAACATTTTCAAACTCGTATACCAAAGCATAAAATATTATGTATGAAGGTAGACGTATCAGTTATATTTTAATGATAATTTTAATATTACAAGTAATAATATTGTATAGGACTCAATAAGATATATACTTCAGTATAACGCATATTTTCAAAAATGAAATTAAGATTTTTTAATAACTTATGTACGGTCAGGAAAGGTACTAACTATGATACATAATATGACCAACATAACATATCAGATTAAAATAATATGGCTATACATGAATTTAATTAGGTAAAAGTTAAATAATGTTAACAATGTTTACAATTACGAATTATGTTATAATAATAAACTCGTTTGCAAGGAACTTATTATTAAAAAAAAAAAACAAAAAATTGTTCTACATTATCTAACTTGTCAATTTATTTAATCGCATAACTATTTTTACTATTAACTATATCAAGTGTAGTTTAAGTATTCATAACCATATCATTTTTTTACAATACAATTTGCTTTGAAACAAAAAACATGTTAATAGTAAATTAACGACTTTGAGCCATTTATGATGGAAAGTGGTGCGACGACGACAAACATGTGATCACGCCCAATAACGTTATCATGATTTGAGACCGACTGTATCCACTAGATCCCCAATTTCCTGAAAAATAAACATTTATACATGAAACAAAATAATATCTCAATACGGGACGTTCATAACTCCGGTCGGTTTGGTTTTAGAAGTCAAATGCAATAATTGTGCGATAGCGTCAAAACATGTGTATTAATAAAACAAAACACACTAAAATTCGGAAGGGAATGTGAAGAAAAAAAAAATGAGAGATGTTAAAAAAAAAAAAATAGAAATTACTCATAATTATTAAACAAGTGAAATTGATCAAATCGGTTAAAAAATTACCAACGGTCAACGTGGATGAAATTGGATGTGATAAGTGCACTGAGTACCTACTTTTAAAGTATCATTTGATTATAATATAACAATAATTTGTTTTTTTATTATATTTTGATATAATAAAACATGTGTATGAATTTTAAATTATATTAATAATGTTGCATTATTTTAACGGTAAAGTTTTAACGGCGAAAATTAAGGGTGACCGAAATTGAGTTTAAGTTATGGGCAGCCTAAAAGTAATGTAAAATCATTAATTATGACGATTTTAGAGTTAATGATAGGTTTGATTAAATACTGACGTTTTAGACGCATTTCAGTGTTAATCTTTTGTCGGAACTCTAGATTTTCTTTGTTAAAAGTAGTAACAAGTTACCGAAGTTATAATGTATTAAAGGGAGTATTGACTGGGGAATAGTATTAAATAGTTGATTTGTCAGCAGACATGCAATTTTCCGTAATGACCCCAAACTTACTGAATTCTGACTTCTGTATTCATCTACTTAAACATAACTATAACACCTATTTTAAATAGAAAATGTCAGTAGTTGTCTGGTATAGAATATGTTTGCCAAATACGAGTAAAATGTGACAGTTTATGGTTATACTTATTAAGAAATAATAATTAATATAATAAAAACTCAATTTTAACTTTTTAATTTTAATTACATTTTGTATACCTAACACAACAATTGATCCCGTTTTGACTTTTTTAAAAAAACTTATTTTACACACAATTGTGATTCATTCTTTATTAAAATAAGATTATAGGTTCTTCCGTTGTGTATATTATTATTGAATAATAATGATGAATTAAAATCAAATTTTTCGTAAAAAATCTGACTTCACCTATTTTTGGCCAATCGGTGAAGAGTCGTTGTGGTATCTATAACTTTAGATTATTATCGTAGGTTACCGTCGCGCACTTGAGGGTGAAGTAAAAAATAAATAGCATTCCAAAACGTGTAAAATTGTCAAAAACAAAAATATATATTTTTAATAACATGATTTGTGTGTGTGTGTGTGTGTGATAAAAAGTGCATGTGGCGAGTGTAAAATATATATATAAAAAAAACAAAATTAAAAACGAGCATAACGAGTGTGTGCAATAATTTAAGTAATTTAAATAAATGTGCTGCATATATTACAAAAGGCGTGCGCGATTGCCCACCTGAGACCTCGTGTTTCGCAGGCATGGTGGGCCTGATGGGACGTGGCTGTTGCTGCCGGTTTTCCCGGACAGACTGACCCGTCGTGTTTCGGACCACCGGTGCTTTTGGTGGCTTCAAAACTGTAAACCGTCCATATATGTATTGTGTATGCATAAAATATACCCATGGTGGTTAGAACAAAGTTGATATTCTTTTTTGTCCAAATAAAAAACGACCACAGAAAGTTGAGGACACGCCAACAAGCTAAACGTGTAGACTAAGCCCAGAGGGGTAACATGATTTACATAACTAAAATATAGCTCAGGTGTGAAATATATATATATATATAGACTTAACCATTTAGATTGAACAAACATTATGTGATAAGTTTTAGCTAGTAAACCAGGTCCCCTTCATTTATCGAACGAGTTGTGCCAAAAGTTACAGTTTTGCAAGTGTTGAAATATTGTTTAAAGGCGTTTAGTCAATTATTATTTACCAACTTTTGAAAATAGATAACTGTTGATTAAGTTTTATAAGTTTAAAATTCATTCTGCACTTGGTTTTTTATCATTTTATTTACTATACATATATTTTGTAAAGTAACTCTTATGTCAGGCCTTTCACATGAATAGACAAAGGTTAGCTTACGGAACACGGTGATGTCCAAAGTACTATAGTATAGTAAAAAAAACCAACTTTTACACAACTTACCGTCTTTATTGTTTCGGTTGGGTTCGAACGAACTTTTGGGTGCTACAGAAGGCTTCGGTATTTCTGAAAAAAATATTTATGAAATTAGTTACGCTCGTGTTTAAACGCTTATTTTTTCTTAAACTCAATTTCGTTTGTTGAAAAAAATATTAGTCGTTTTAAAAATAGTATTAGCATTTGTCTAATTTGTTTACAACTGTCCTAGTTGATTTTAAATACTATATTTCATACCAAAATATTATACATTTTTTAGATTTACCATAGGAATGTTCTGTAGAAAGTAAATTTAGTTTGCACAGATCTATAACATAACTAGTTGTCAATGATAGTTGCAACGTATAAATTGGGAATCAAAACGCAAGACATTTTCCTGTCGATGATAGCTATTTCCAGGTATAAACTTTTGCTGACAGTTCTTATAAGTGAATAAGTAATTGCCGCAAGTACTTACCGTATAGCCTGATAGAGCCTTCAGTCTCGCCGAGTGAGTTCTTGGATATACATTTATAGTTGCCGAAATCCGCTTGGCTTAAATCTTTTATAGTAAGCCGCATGTGAATGCGATAACTGTTTTCTGTATCGGACGTGACGTACTTTTTGTTTTGAAATAACATAGATTTTGAATCGCGAAACGACCAGTAGTTTATCGATTTCGGATGTGCTTCTGTTTGGCAGTCAATGGTCACGTCCGTGCCAGCTGGTGCCCCGACCAGTTGATTTGGAACCCATATCATTGGTGAAACTAAAAACAAAATTACAAAAAATTATACTAACACGGTTATTTACTTATGGAAACGGTTTAAAATACACAAGACACATAGTTTTAGTTTTTACTGTAAATGCAATTAAGCCCTACAAATTAAACCATGGAATTCCATTCATATTTATGAATCATATAGAAAAAATTATAGTTTAGTTTTACTTTTTAAATTGTTTTATTGCTATATTTTCAAAACGTTCAACAAAATATAATTTAAATATATTTTATTATGAATCATTTTTTTTTGAATTTTAAATCTGTTTATTTAACTCCGACTAAACCATACACATAATAAAAACATTTATTTTTAAACATTTTAAATTGTATGTTTACTTTATTTAATATAGGAGGTAAGCATACTTTAAACTGTCGATGGACAAAACACAATATTATGTCTAATCCATCTTTATGATACTCATTTTATACGGTTTGCCGTACGGATAGTGTCTTGGCTTGTTACTGTTTTGAGCAGTATTAGGGAAACAATAACAGTTGTATTGGACTTAATTCGGCGAAAACTCAGTAATTATAATGTTACGCTTTATTATAAACGATATCTGCGTCGAACAATGGATGATAAGTGATACCGCGAGTAGTATTATAATAGTAACGGGAGACTTGAACGAATACAATAGCCGACGTCTTAATCTGTTGATAATGAAGGGAGCCCTTTAATCGCTTTCGGTTTTATAATCTCTCTTCTCCAACGACCATGGTTTGCCGAGTGCACACATATTATGCTCGATGTGATTAATTATTCATCCATAAAAGGATTATGGTGGCGGTTACGAGGTACGTCGTCGTGGGTCGTGAAGAAACATGATGTTCGCTTAAGCCGTTGAAAAGGACGTTGGATTACACAAACAACTGCACGCGTGTACACGGGTATAGCTGCAGTGCTTAGCAGATAAAGCTAATTGCCGTCGGTAACACTAAGAACGGGTCAGAGACACTATAAAGTTCAATCACATTATGCCTGACCCTCGGAAAAGTTTACCCTGTATACCATACGTGACTATAACTATAGTCGTTCTCCCTCGCTTTATAAAAAAAAAATAATAATACCATTTCTAAGTACGGTGTACACGAGCTTTTAGCGGATATTGTAACACGTGTTCCGTGTTTAAGTTCCTCCTCGTGTTTCCTTTAATATTCTTACGGATACAAAGCAATATTACTTGTCCGCTTCTACAAATGCGCGCAATAAGGTTTTTGGCAACACTCGCCAAACGAACCGTGCAATCATAACCGCTATTGCGGTGATTATAACACTTATCGTTGACAACAAGACCACAGTTAAATGTGAAAAATCATTACTTAGCACAATAGAGACTTGTCACGAAGCTTCGATATCGAGCTAACGAGGTATTGGGTTTACAATAATTATTATTACGCGTTTTTATCTTTTTACAACTGTTCTTTTGGCTAGCGCAGGAATAACAGTAAAAATAAACCAGCAGTATTGGAAGTCTGATTTCAAACAGTAAAAATGTGTACATCACAAAAAATCAACCAACCATATAAATAAAAAAATAGGAAATATGCTGAGAAAAGCAGAAGTCTAGAGACGACAATGAAGTGTGGATGAAGAAGTAAACAATAAGTGAAACTTTGAATAGCTAAGGCTGTTTTATGAAAAAGCAACGACGAATCGGGGAAAAAGGCATGGCCTGAATGTCCTATTTTAACCAGGAACTAATTCTCGTTGGAATAAAAATTAGTTTACTTATTTTCTTTTCGATTGGGTTTGCTTATATTAAGTTTAATTGTCCAGGCGTGGCGAGAACTTTGATGTTTTGAAATATCACAAACTCTCGTGGTCGTGATCCTTTGGGCTTTGAGGCATTGATGTTTTTTCGTCACCCTTTCGTCTTAATTCAGCCCTTTTGTCAAAACTTTCGTATTTCAAACTAGAAACTAATAAACGAAAGGATTAAAGCAGGATTACACTCTCGGGGGCACTGAAGACATCACTAAAGGGGGAAGTTTACAAACCCATGGTGAAAGCTACGTGTGCGTATGCTGGAAATATTTAAGTAGTTAAAATTCAATGCGAGTCTATCTTTCTATTTCCCTCTTAGCGAGTGAGATACGACTGAAGAATATTATATTCTTTGTAGGTATTTCCGTCTAGGGCTCGCTTAAACGGGTAAATTGGTGTTCCTTATTTGCATAATAATTTATATTTTAACAAGCGAAAATTTAAACCGTTAAGCCTCATTAAGTTTTATAACATAAAACTTTGTATACGCCTAGTATTATTTCGAGTAAAATTTAATAAATGGGTATACTTAAACGACGTTATTTTATTTTACGAATAATTTTTATGAACATTTACAATGTAAATAAAATGTATCATTTTTACTTATGTATATACGTCATTCATTTTAACTAGTTTAAATTATAAATAAATATATATATATATATTCTATGTTTAGAAAACCAAGTTCGTATCAAAACGAGACTAAAATATAGGTACTTATTTATATAGTTGCTATAATATGATTGCAGTTGATAAGTCATAATATTTTAAATGTGATGGTAATGTTGTATTTCTTACATTCAATGTCGAGTATGATGCGTTTGCTTACTGACGGCGGCACTCCGTTGCTGGCGATACAAAGATAGGCGCCCATGTCAGCTCTAGTGACTCTTGTCAAATTTAACGTGTCGCCAAAAAGTTTATCAACTGGAACACCTTACAAGTTTATTTAAATTATAGATATGTATAATAATTTTCAACCAAAAACATACTTCATTATCTGTTACTTATTAACTTAACATCTAAATTTTGGTAGTTGTCAGATAATGTTTTAATATATTATATTTATTCCGTTGATAAACCGTTATAATTTGTAAAATAAATCCTTATGACATTATTTAATATGTAGTTACGGAATGTTATTTCATTAATACATAGAAACAAATTACAAATACAATACATTTATTTAAACTAAACAACAATTAAATTTTCTTTACTTTTTATAATTTAATGGCGTACTCCGATATTGATCAAATGTTTTCTGAGAAATGTTCTTTAACTAGTGTGTCCAACGATATCTGTTTTGATGACTTCGACAATAAGCAAGATATAAAACCTAGTGTAGGTTTCGGTCGTGGCCATATCGTTCGCCAATACATGAGCAGCGTGGGTTTGATCACGGAAAGGTACACTACCAGCGACATGTTGTTTTACGAGCCCAGAAACGTGTCTAGTTGCACGATAGCGAAAACCAATTCGAAATTGTTAGAAAAAACTAGTGAAGTCCAAGAAGACGTTCAGCCAACGGATCTTATTGATTGCCCGTGTATTTTGAAAGCATATCAGGCCGAGCTGAAGCAACGAGGCTTATTAGCGAGTTTATTGGATAAAATAAAAAATCTGTTACGCATTTGAATTAATAATGTAACCGATGTTTTATATTATAAAAAAAAAGTAAAATAAAATTTACTGTCGGAGTTGTATTCGACTAAACCCCGTTGTACGGTAATAACACACCAACTGATTTTTCAAAAATAAACCATCTAGTAAATCAAGATTAGTGTACTTTTGATGGGTTTAAAAATGCAATATTTTATCCTCACCTTTTCTTTTGCGGTCTGTTGCTATGTGACCACCGTCCTCTCGTTTCCAGCTAATTTTCGGCGTCGGAGATCCTTCGGCCTTGCACGTTAATGAAAGGTTTTGGTTTTCGCGAACAGATACCGAAGATGGAGAACTTTCATCGTCGATTATGTTCGGTGGTACTAAAAGAAACCATAACGGATTTTACAATGCGTGCGGCACAAATAACGGTATAGGTACACTTGTATTTTTAAATATTTGAACTTTTTCACAACTTCCAAACCAATAACGAACGTCAAAGATTTTTTTGTTATTGTGCGAAAGTTATTATTGAATTGTTTAACATGTCATTGGGCTGGGGTCAATCGGAAAATCTGTACGTGCGAACACTGAACGAGTATACATATAAGATTAGAGATAAAAATAGAGATAAGAGTTAAGAGATGGTCCAGCTGGAAGCTGGATGTGTGGTAAGAGATTTTAGATAAAACATTCGATATTAGAAAGTACCAAAAAGTACCAGGGTCCTATACTTGAATATTAAGACATATCCGTATTCCTATGTACTTCCGTGCAGCGGAGGTCATGCCCACTTGTTATTTTTACGGAAGTATATCACTATTTCAGGCTTGGAATATTAAAAATTATAATATTTTTACAAATCAAGCATTTCTCTGATTCGTATTTGGATTATTCTAGAAAAAACCGCGCTCTTAATTGTTTCATAGAGATGAAACTTCATTCACTTCATAATATTGGTACTTTCTTAATTTTCTATATAAACTTCACTGGTCTTCCTGCTACTCTCTAATATCGTTACCGTGTTTTAAAATGTTTTTTTCACGAGACATACTCAGGTTTTCTAATTATGTTATTTTTTTTTTTGTTTCTTCCGCATCTCTCAAACCGTTGTTGTTAATTAAAATTCTCGTTTCTATACTTTTTCTTTGATATACAACACTGGAAATTCAGTTAAAGGCGAAATCAAGAACTTTTTTTTATCATGAAGCCGAAACTGTTGAAATCGTATTAGTTTTAAATAATTTAACTCATATTTCATCCTTAACAAATATACTAGGATTTCTCTATATCACTTATACATTTGTCGTCAAATACCAATAGTTCTGCCAGTTCACTCCAATAGGGATTCTATTCTCTACCAATATGTCTTTGTAATGCTTTTCTTGGCTGTTTGTGATAAAGCTTTTACCATTTCGCAATCATAATAATAATATATTTTTCTAATATTTATCAACGGCAGACTATACTGAGTGATCGAATAATAAAGGTATATTAATAGTACTTCACTATCGACATTCTCTTACCGACTACTTTCAGGTATCCGACTTGACTAATCATGGGGTTTGTGTTTACTTGACACATATAATATCCTCTATCCTCGGGTTGTGCTCCTTTTACATGCAACAACCATGTTTTTTGGCTGTCGTGAGTAATACCAAACCTGGGTATTCGTGCTATAACGTGACGGTGAATGGTCAAAATCATTTGCCGGTCTATATGAATCCATGCAACCTGAAATCAAATAAACTTGTAAATTAATTCTATTAGGTATTTTTACTATCCTCGATCATTTAGCTGTTATCACTTATGTTATAGGTCGAAAGACAAAACGAAAAAATTCAGATGTCTTTGTCGCTGAAATGTGGAAACACTTAATTTAAGGAACCATACCAGTCTCTTTTGTTTGATTAAAATAAATAATTGTTCAAACATTTTTGTTTGAAGTTGGTTTGTCTATATAACGCTGATGAGAGGGAACCGTTTCCGCGGTACTATCTCGCTTAATAAAATATTTTTGGAGTTAAATGCTGTGAATTTGTTGATTGAGCTTTTTCATTCGAGTGTAGAAAAGAATTATCAACTGACAAGCGTTAAAACTGTACTCTCCATTTGGCCATTCTATTACCTAAAATATTGTTTAAAGCGATTCATTTGTCGAGAAATAAGTTTTTTTTGAGAAGTGTATTTAGATTAATTTCAAAATATTAATTAAAATGCGATTAATTACTATTTGCAATCGAACTGAAAAGCTGGTACAGAATTCTGAGTAATTTAATAAGTATATTTGGCTCTTGGTGATTAAGTGTTCAAATGGCAGTGGGCAAAAAATCAAATTAAAACAAAGTAACGGAAAAAAAGAAATTAGAAAAAAACTGCAAGAAGAAAATAAACAAGTTTAATTAAATTTTACTCAAAAAATATATTTAATTATAAATATTTACCTATTGTATTTAATTACTATTTACAAAAACCAAAGTAGAATTAAAAAATAACAAATTATGTTATTTAATTAGAAGCAATTACAAAACATTTTTTTTTATAAAAATATAAAAATGTTAGCAACCAAATATTTTTGACAGTATTTTTTAAAAACAAAAAAAAAATTGTAGAGGAAAACAGTATTGTCTTCATATTGATTTTTAAAAGTACAACTTTAGTATCGGTATTATCTGCAGATTTATGTTACTCAAAGTAACATATTTTATAATATGTAAATCCAGAACGAAAAAAGAAGTTAATAATTAAAACTATATTTTTTCTGTATTTTAAAGCATTTATAAGTTTATATCTTATAGAATATAACGAGATGTAAGATCTTTTTTCGCAACTAATAATTTACTTAACCGATGAACTACTATAAAGTAACTGATACGGGCAAGTACGGAAAAATTTAAGTTTTTTTTTGATGCCGTAAGTTTTATAATGTTTTCCCAGTACCGGATGTTGGTACTTAAGTTTACAACAGGAAAAGTTGAGTTAAATAATTAAGTTTTCTTGAAAAATGTTCTTTTCGCGCCACAGACCGTTTAATATTAAATATCTCTAAATGCGACGCCTCATGATAATTACTAAGGATTTAAAAATATGTCTTTGTTAAATTTTGATATAATTCATAATAATATACGGTTAATCTTATGTGATTTGATCGTACAAGCAACTAGTTTGCAGTAGGGAAGTGTCATCTTTTCAGCAATTTATATATTAAATAATATCATTATGTAGGTCTCTTTGTTTATTGTCGACATTTGTTGGTAATTATTGCTGTATGGGGGGACTACATGTACAAATATTATTGTATTGTCATTTATTACCCGTTGTACTTAAGGGTAAAAATGTACTTATCGGTAAACAGTCGTAGCCGACGCGTTATCCTTTCTGGGAAACGTTTAACTCGACCGTGGGGCATATTGTGCACTAGTACAGGACGAGAAATTCTGGTCATAACACCATTAATAACGACGAAAGATGTCCGCAGAAAGCTGTATGTTCCTACAATTTCCGTTAAATGTTACCGTCAAGAACGGAACTTTAACCATTATGGCCAGATGTCCCCCTACGGTACGACAAACAGCAATATATATTATATATATATATATATAAAACCGGCTTTATATTTCTCTTTCACTATCCCGGTACCCAATCTTTGTTTCCCTTTTCGTTTTGAGTCAATTTGCAGACCACCCCGATGAACTTTTGCGGTTTTGTTTCTCACGACCCTTATACATTTCATAACGGAAAATACATTAAAAAAAATATACAACGCGTTATATCGAACCATGTAGATAGTAGTGTCCGTGCGGTGGTTGGCGTTGATTAAATATTATACGACAAGCATGTTTTTGGAATGTTTGTTGTAATTATCAATAACATTACAAATTATTTGTGTGCAAATTATGTAGTTTATTGAATTATCGACCAATAAGTGCAAAATATACTTGAATGATACACGTAGTTAAAAAATAAGTTCAAAAAACCGGTCAAGGGTCTACAAAAGTGTTGTGTAACCCGTCTAAAAACATATAACTATAATTTTTTTATCGTATACAAGACAGGTACAAACGAAATAGAAATAGACATCTATATAGTATGTATAGTTTAGGATTTTCGCTAAAAATTGTACATTGTACAAAAAAATAAATGTTTTAGTTTCTACTAAAATAAAATATGTTAATACTTGGGTATATTAGAACTGAAGGTATTTTTTTAATGTAATTCGGTACCTATGCTGAAAATGATTAAATAGGATATTCGGTTATTAGTAAACTTTTCAGGGGAAATTTATAGTTATTTTTTTAACATTTGTTCGTTCTGACTAAAATAGTGTACTACACTATAGAATATTACATTTTACAAAGACCGGCCGACCTTTATATTTTCCTAAAATAAATACAATTTACCTTCGACGTTAAAACAAATAGGTGGGATGTCGCAGATGGTTATCGTTGGGCTTTTTTTTTTTTTTATTTCCTCATCGGTGAAATAATAGGAAAAAGTACACCTATATAAAACACGGTATTTATGGCCTTAAGCTCCAAGAACACAATATAACATGTCGGGTACGTGAAGCGTGAGTTCATATATTCCTTGCACTATGACCGATTACATCACGCATTGTTGGAGTTCAATTGGATGTACACGCCTGATGGTTGGATGACAGTGCGGGTTCTAAAAACATTGGAAGCTTTTCATTTTTTTTTCTTTTCAGGAAGACAGTTTTATTTTCCAAGTGTAGTAATTTCACGATGTGTTTGGCACCATAATTATGTTGTTTTCTAAGAAAACTCGGCGTACAAAAATATGTGTATTCTGGAACAACCCACGCCGTCGTTCAATATCGTGTTAAAAAATATGATGCTGCGGTGAAAAAATATATACAATTTTTCGATGAAAAAATGCACCAAAATTGCGCGAGTATATTTTGCTGATTTTAGTGTTTATAATAAAATATCCCCAACGTTTTGTCTCGGAAGTATAATTAAAAGTCGGTGTGTCGATTTCACATTATCCGGTTATCACAATAGGAATTTTTATTATTTTCATGTCGCTGTTGTATTGATTGATTGGTTTTGCGTTTTTCGTGTAACGACGCATCTATATTTATGTCGTGTGTGATACTAATACGGCGAAGCTAAACTGTTTTCGATGTACACAGGGCGGCAGATAATTATTGAACAATCTCTCCACCGGAGTGGATGGATGCAAAGCCGCATATGATGTCTATTTATTTCGTAAGAATATCAAGTAGTACACATGATCGACGTCCTATCAAAATTCCATTACTGCAGTGGCAACGTCGTTCCTCCTATCTGTATGTATAATCATTGTTTCGACCCGGTGCTCGTCGTATATGAATAACGGCTTCCTCCCGGGACTTCCGTGCCGCAAGATACATATTGTAGTCGGTTCGAAATGGAAATGTTGGATGTTTGTTGTATAATAACAAGAATCCAGCATACGATATTATACCGCAAGCAAACCCGACGGAGACACGAGAAAGGAGAATTTCAATCGCGGCCAATGTCAAATATATAAACTTATAAGTAATGTTAAACGTTAATTTTTCTCGATTCAAACGCGTGTGTACCATAACTGTTAAATAAATACAATTTTTTTTTTTTAGGTTTAACTGGAATATTTCCGTTAGTGTTTCATCGGTCAGTGATTGCTTCTGTGCACTGGGATGCTTAATTTTCCACAAACACTGTGTTAATAATATATTAAAATACAATAGGAATAAATATTTATTTTTCTGTAGACTGAATCCCTTAATGACAAAGACTATTAAGATTAATTAACAATGTAATAGTTGCCATTTGTATACGACCTACGTATAGTTAATAATATACCTGCGGTTTTTTTCCATTCGATTTACTCATTACCTTCTGAAATTGGAAAAAGCTTTAAGTGTAAAACTTTCTACGATAGACACATCTTGAAAATAATCAAAAGTACGCGAACGTATTACGCTTTTAGATATATTACACCTCTTTTAACTCTATTTAAAATTGGTAAAGTTCACTCGTTGTGTTTTATTTCAATGCGAAGAAAATGATTTAAAAGCTTAAAATACTTTACGAAACTCCACTTTTAATAAAACAGTTTATTTTGTTAATTAAAGAGAACATGCGATTCGTTAAACTGAATTAGATTAAACTTCTAAAATTTTGTATACTTTTCAAATAGGTTAACCATTCTTATTATTATGATAAAGCATAAGTATGTAGAATGATCCATATGCATTGTCATCAGTGAGAAACCAACTGAACCATGTGCTCGCAATCCTTTAGTGACCGCAAAACGTGGAAATCCACTTTAGGGTGTTAGCGAAAGTGTACGGAAATTCATCTCGTCTGCTATTATAAATTAACCACTTTAATCTTATTAGCGGGTACCAAGTTGTCAACTGCGAGAGTTAGTCGTTGTTATTAGCTAATTTTAAATTGGATACTGAGAGATTTGAGTTTAATTTATGTACTTTGAACCGTACAATATCACAAAGTGCTTTATAAATACAATTTTAATTATAATGAATTACACTCGTTATTATTCTACCGGGGTTATTATTTTTAGATCTTAAAATATTTTCTTGCTTAGGTTTTTAGTATAATATTATTATGATTTCTTATCCATGTCGTCTTCTTGTACTATATTTTTGAAAACGTATGTTTGATATGAAAATAATAAACGCTGCGCTGTGATCTTCTAAATATTTTTTAAAAGTTAGTTGTTTT